ATTGTAAACTGGTAATACTTTGCTCTATGTGTAATATCCATATCTGAGTGAGTACATACCATGTTTCTCTTTTTGTGACTGGGTTACCCCACTCAGGATGGTTTCTTCTAATGCCATCCATTTGCCTGAAAATTTCAAGATTCCATTGTTTTTTTTATGCTGAGTAGTACTCCATTGTACCACATTTTCTCTGTCCACTCTTCAGTTGAGGGGCCTCTAGATTGCTTCCAAGTTCTGGATGTTACAAATAATGCTGCTCTGAACATAGTGGAACAGGTGTCCTTGTTGTATGAATGTACATCTTTTGGGTATATGCCTAAGAGGGAATTACTGGAATCTTGGCTGTACAACTTTGCACTCCTATCCCCAGTGGAGGAATGTTGCCCTTTCTCCACATCCTCTCCAGTATAAACTGTCACTGGTGTTTTTGACTTTAGCCATTCTGATGGGTGGAAGATGGTATCTCAGAGTTGTTTTGATTTGCATTTCCCTGATGACTAAGGATGTTGAGCACTTTCTTAAGGGGTTTTTCAGCCATTTTAGATTCCTCTATTAAGAATTGTCTGTTTAGTTCTGTACCCCACTTTATAATTGAACTATTTCGTGTTTTGGAGACTTGCTTCTTGAGTTCTTTGTAAATTTTGGAGATCAGCCCTCTGTCAGATGTGGGGTTGGTGAATATCTTTTCCCATTCTGTGGGCTGCCGTTTTGTCTTGTTGACTGCATCTTTTGCCTTACAGAAGCTTCTCAGTTTCAAGAAGTGCCATTTATTATTTGTCAATCTCGGTGTCTGTGCTACTGGCATTATATTTAGGAAGTGGTCTGGTCTACTGTGCCAATTTGTTCAAGGGTACCTCCCACTTTCTCTCTCAAGGGTATCTTCCACTTTCTCTTCTAAGAGGTTCAGTGTGGCTTTGACCAATTTGGACTTATATTTTGTGCATGGTAATAGATATGGATCTATCTGCAGTCTTATACATGTACATATCCAGTTATGTCAGCACCATTTGTTGAAGATGTTTTCTCTTTTGCATTGTATAGTTTTAACTTCTTTGCCAAAAATTATGTGTTCACAGGTTACAGCAGAAGGATGGATTCTGTCTTCATATCCATTCTGTTAGCCTGTGTCTTTTTATAGGTGAGTTAAGACCATTGATATTTAGGAATATTAATGACCATTGATTCTTGATTCTTGTTTGTTTTGGGTTTGTTTTTGGTGGTGGTATTGTTTGTGAGCTTTTCCGTCTTTTCTGGCTTTTGGTAAAATGGGATTATCTATTGCCTATGTTTTTGTGAGTGTAGTTAACTTCCCTGGATTGGAGTTTTCCTTCCAGAACTTTCTGTAGGCCTGGATTAGTGGATATGTATTGTGTAAACCTGTTTTTTTCAAGTGATATCTTCTTTTCTCCATCTGTAGTGATTGAGAGTTTTTCTGGGTATGGGTTCAAGGCTCTATCCTCTCCTCTCTCCCGAATGGTACAGGGGCAAGACAGGAATGGCAGTCGATGGTGGATGCTTTGTTCTGCCTTGGGGCAATACAGGAATGACAATGTTCTGCCTCCAGGTCTTTCTGGGGAATTCTGTGGCAGGAAGGGTCTGGAGACCACAGGTCAGGAAACTCGAAGAGGAAAGGTTGGCTGGAAAGGCCCCTGGTACTCACCTCTCTACCAGAGGATGGAGGGGCAAGACAGGAATGCGGCCCATGCTGGATGCTTTGCTCTGCCTCCAGGTCCCTCTATTTAAAAATTTTAAATGAACACATTTTTTAAAAACTAAAAAAAATGTAGAAAAATTCTTAAACGAATTTCTTCTCATGGAAAGACTGTAACTCTAGGACTGGAGAGATGACTCAGAGGTTAAGAACATTGACAGTTCTTTTAGAGGTCCTGAGTTCAATTCCCCACAAACACTTAGTGGCTCACAACCATCTAGAATAAAATCTGGCATGCAGGCAAACATAGAGAGAACACTGTATACATAATAAATAGATAAATCTAAAGAAAAAAAGAACTCCAGATAGGATTAAGGGCTTACAGAAAGGAGAATGGAAACTCAGAAAATAGTGACTATGTGTGTGTGATATAAAGACTCTTTAGTATTTAAATATCCTTGAAAGATAACTATGTGGGGTTGACAAGACGGCTCAGTGGTTAAGAGTCCTTACTGATCTTGCACAGGATCCCATTTCAGTTCTCAGTGTCCATATCCAGTGGGTCACACCAACCTGTAACTCCTGCTTCAGGGGAACTGGCTCCCTCTAGTGGCCCATGGAAACCTGCACTCACATGCACATATTCCCATACAGAAACTGGCATATACACATAATAAATATAAAATTTTGTTTTTATGTAAATATAAGAATAAGATAAATTTTTAGAAAAGAAGCACAAAAAGCTAACTGTGTGAAATAAAGGTAATACACATTTGTTGTAGAGTCTATATTTAAGAGTAGGATATATGACAGTAATAACACAGAAAGTGGAAGGGGAGAAGATGTCTGTCTGTCTCTCTCCAGAGTGGGGGATTAAAGGTATGTGCCACTATATTAGACTAAGAATTTTTGCAGAGCCTAAAGAGAACTGCAGGAAACACTCTATCTAAATAAAGATGAAAAGAAAAGAGAAGATATGCAATGTCTCAGAGAGAATACTGACAGCAAGATGGCAGATTAAAACCCAACAGCATCAGTCCTGAGGATGTCACTCAGTGGTAGAGTCCTTGCCTAGCACATTCAAGGTCCTTTGTTTGTTAACTGCCAATAAGCCTTATCACATTAATGAAACTCAGCATTCAAATTACAGGTGTACAGGTGAGGATTGTCAAGGAGGCAAAATAAATGAATAAAAGCAATATTCAGATACATGCTGCTCATAAGGACCCACATTGATTACATTTGAATGGCCGAAAAATAAAAGAAGATGATATCCACTCTACTAATCTACTAATAAAAGAAATTCTATATTTTTACTTCAAGAAAAGACTTCTGAAAGTGGAATACCAGCAGAGACAAAAGCAGGATCATTTCATGGCAATAAAACACTGAATTCAATAGGCCATAGCAATTCTAAATGTTTATAAAACTCATGAAAGAACTACAAAAAAGATAAAGCAAATTCTGTTGGAACTACAAGAACAGAGAAACTCACAATTACAGCTGAAGATTTCGACATCTCTCTCAATAACTGATGAAACAAGTGGGCAGAATTACAGCAAGGGTCTGAAAGACTTGAATAATGTCATGAATCAAGTTGACCCAAATGACAGTTATAGAACACTCCGTACAACAACAGCAGTGTAAATGTGCTGTTCAAATGTATGGACACATTTACCAAGATAAGCCATATTCTGGGACATTGAATAAATCTCCATAACTTTGAAAAGATTCCAGTCAGACAAAAGATAAGTACTCTGATCACAATAAAATAAAACTAATAATCAATTATCACAACATCTCTACAATGTCCACAGATGTTTAAAATTAAAGAGGCTGAATTATATTACTTATATCAAAAGACATCAGAGACATTAGATGCCAGTATCAGGAAGCTATGAAAGGAACACCATGCATTCAAGACCAGTATACTATATACATTGAGATCTGCTTCAAAAAATGAAAATCTTTCCTTTTTCCTTTCTTTCTTTCTTTTTTTTATGTGGATATCCATAGTTGTGCTGTCACCGGACACCGTGTTGATGTCTGTGGGCCATGTTGCTGTAGGGGACCTTGTTTATGTGAATAGCTTGTGCAGCCAACTTTGGCCATGTTGACTCCCTTGGCCTGTGCTGCCACGGAGAGCCTTGATAGTGTCCAGGAGCTGTGCTGCAGCAGAGGGCCATGTTGATGTCGGTGGTCTGTACTGCCGCTGGAGACCATGCTGAGGTCCAATAGCACATGCTGATACCAGAGACCACTAGATGTTCATGGTCAGTGTTGTCATCAGAAACCATGTGAACGTCCACGATTCACTCTCCCGCTGACTGTAAAGGGCAAGGAAGCTACTTCTGCAGTGGTAGCGAAGACTGGAGACTCACAGTTGAGAAAGACGGATGTAGAAGGCTTCAGTGAATACCCCTACCCCCACCCCACCCTCCAATGAAGTAACAGTCTAGACAAAAGCCATCGATGAGAACTCTTAAAAACTGTGATAAGGATGCGGAAGTGTAGCGCTCCACAGTTGATGGCTTCTGACGGGTGTCAGTGGTGAAGGACTCAGTTTTCTCTTAGGAGCTACCCACTGGGAGTTTGACCATGCTCCAGTGGGTATGTGGGCAACACAAATTGGAATTGTTTTTGTTGTTGTTGATTCTTTCTTTTTCTTTCTTTTTTAAGGGTAAATGGATGGACCTGGGAAGACTGGGGAGTGAATGCCATAGGGATACACACTGCGAAATTCCCAGATAATCAAAGTGTTATGTTGGGAAACAAATGAAAAAGAAATTTTAAAAATGAGCCCAGGTTTTTTAGTTTTGTAGCAACAGAAAGACTAGAAAAAGCCTAAGTATAAAGACTTTTCCAAGTAATTTGTCATAGCCCACATGGGGGGGGGGCATCCGTTGGGTCCAGCTGTCTTGTCCAGTCCATACTTGAGAGGGAGAGTGTGGATTAAGAAATGGCAGGTAGAAAAATTAAAGAAATGACAGATATACAGGATAGAGTAAGGAGGGCATCTGATGAGTACCAGGAACTACCTCAAGTTTATTATTCAGAGCTCTTCTATACCCCCAATCAAAAGAGGGGGAGGAAAAACACTTCCTTACCAAGATACAAAGGACAAGCAAGTGCAATTACCTTCTCAAGACCCCAAAACAAGTAACCACACCCTAAGCCAAATATCCACTTGCTAAGGTGAGACATCTATTAGTTACTCCTTAGGTCAAATAACCTACTGTTAAGGTAAAACATCCATTAGCCACACCTTAGGCCAAACATTCTGTTCAACCTTGAAAGAGTGATAGTGGGTTTGAACTCTCTGACTTTAAGTCAAGAAGAATCGGAGCCATTTTTATGGGTCCCAACAGTAATTGTTTTTAAAAACATTTTTATTTATTGGTTGAGAACTTAATACATGTATGCAATGTGTTTCGATCAATTCCCTTACCCTTCCACCCAACATATTCTATACTGAATGATTGCAGATTAATTCATTCATGTATTCATTCATTCCTTCATTCATTCATGTGTTCATTTATTTGTTCAGATATCTTTCAAACACTCCAAGTGTTCTGAGTATCAATTTTAGGGCGGAGTTACAGAATGGGAGACACTTTAGTACCTTAAAATACATTTCTCAAGATTAAAGTTCTTAGTTTATTTTTTAATTTGTAGAGAAAAACAGCATATAAAAAAGTTTGGGATGCAGCCAACGCTGTGCTGAAAGGAAAAACTGTGCCACTAGCTGCTGGTGCAGAAGAGATGAAAATGTCACATGGTGACACCTGCCTACAACCCTGCACTCACGAGCATCCCAGGTTTGAAGACAGCTGCGACTACTTAGTGAGATTCTGTCTTGAAGAAAGAAAAGAAAGACCAGGGAAAAGGCCTCTTAGTAGGCCCGCTTGTGAGCTCAAGAAAGATCCTAGCCAATCACCAGAACCTAGGCATGTTATCTTAAGAGTAGTTATAAAGAGAGAAATCCTCCTGTCCCGTGAACCATGTGGTGAGAGGGACCCCAGCCAACTAGGGTTCAGGGGCACCCTGACCCTGGAATCTTTCCCCCGAAAAAAGAGTATTTAGAAAAAGGACTTTTACAGATAAAAGGAAGGATCTTGAACTGAGGTGACTTCCCTACTTTTCCAGGGGGCTCTCAATACCCATCAAGAGCATCTTTGTAAGAGAGAAGCACAGAAACACGTACATGAGATTACATGAAACTGGAGGCAAATTGGAGAAATGAAGTCACAAGCCATTGGGCATCCAAAGCTGGTAGGGGGCAGAGAAGGGAACACCACAGCACCTGTGAAGAGCCTGTGATCCCACTGGCACAGTCATTCCAGACGTCTGGCTCCTAGAACAGAGAGAAGATGAATTCTGTTCTTCTGGCACTTCAAAATTTGTTGTAACTTCTTTCAGCAGCCACAGAAAACTAGTTTCATATCAAATGAATTACCTTGCCTTCCACTCAGAAATGAACAAACACAATTTGGTATGCCTCTAAAAATGGAATGCTGGCACTAGAGAGAGGGCTCAGCGGTTAAAAGCATTGGCTCTTCTTCCAGAGGTCCCAGGTTCAATTCCCAGAATTCATATGGCGGCTCACAACTGTCTGAAACTCCAGTCCCAAGACATCTGACACCCTCTTCTGGCCTCTGCAAGAAATTGGCATGAATGTGGTACACAGAAAAACATACAAGCAAAACACATATACAGAAAATAGAATTTAAATTAAAAATGGAATGATATTCAAGAATCAAAAGAAAAGCTCTTTAAGTATCAAAATTGTGTTCAAAACTATTGATGAGCCTTAATAATTATAATAAGTGAATAAAGGACAAAATAATTTGATTTAATTCATGGAAATTCTAAAAAGTTACACACTGTAATATACAGTAATATACAGTGACCAAGGGGAAAATAGTGATCATGACAGGGTTGAGTGAACAAAAGAACTCATTATAAAAATGAAGGAAAATGAAGGGATATACAAACTTCTGGGAATTAGCTTGTATTTCATTATCTCTTTTGTGACCATATTTTCATAGATATACACAAAGGTCAAAATGTATTAAATTTTATACAGAAGGTGTAGGCAGTTTAATATGCATCCAATATATTCCAGTAAAGTTGCACAAAATGCAACCAGATGTGAACAGTTTAGCTACAGAATAGGTTGGAAGCAGGTAAGATGCAGATGAGGGCTTTGTTTGGGGGCATAGACTGCACTGTGAACTATGGAAAGGGTTATGGAGTAACGCCTGACGACTAAAACCAGAGCCAAAGATGAGGCAACTAGCGATGGGTGGCCATGGTTAAGGGAATGAGAAGAGAGAAGTACTTATGAATAACTGGGGGTGGATTTAGGAGACATCGAAGATGTAGAGTGAGGAGGAGGAGAGCTATCTGGCTAGGGAGCTGTGATGAGCTGAGGTGTGTACCACTAAAATGTGTATGCTTAAGTCCTAACACGATGCTATTGTACTTAGGAGTAAGATTTATAGGGTGTGCGTTAATCTATGTGCTACTATGACTGAGTACACGAAGACAGTTATTTTTAAAAACAATGAAACAATTTCTTGCAGCTCTAGGGCAGATACAAAAACCTAGGAGCAAGCTAATGGGATCTGATGGAGACCTTCTTGCTGCTTGCCCTGGAATGCTGTACGCTAACATGGCAGAAGAGCTCAATGGCAAGCCGCCAGGTGACACATGAATTCTGTTTTATTAGAGGCCAAAAACCATTAAGCAGGGAGAAGCCATGATAGCCACATAAACTCTTAAAGGCACCATCTCTTAATCCTAACATATTAATGATATCTGGATTTGAGAATTGATACTTTCAAATTGCAGCAGGAGGTAAAATGAAATCAAGTCATAAGCATGGAGCCTTCATAAAGTAAAGCTATGGTCTTATAAAAATGTTCGTCTTTCAGAACTGTAACAATGGCTCACCTGTTAAGAGCACTAGCTACTCTACTAGTAGACCTGGGCTTAACCCACATAATACCTGACAATCATCTGCTATTCCAGTTCCAGGGGATCTGATGCCCTCTTCTGTTCTCCTTGGGAAATGTAGGCATTTGGTGCACAGACAGACTTTTATACAGACAAAACACCCATACACATAAAATAAAGATAAATAAAACCTCAAAAATCGAATTATGTATCTTTCTTCACTGTAGAGAACGCGGTTGTCTACAAACCCAGGGAGTCCTCAACAGACAATGAATCCTGCTGAATCTTCATCTTGGACTCTCCACCTCCAGAACACTAAAAAGGAAATTCTGGGGATGAAAAAGAAGTCATAGCAGGTAAGAGCACTTGCTACTTCTGTAGAAGACCCCAATTAGGTTCCCTGTACCAACAGGACAACTCACAATTATATATAACTCCAGTTCCAGAGGATCTGATATCTTCCTTCTTGACCACTACACACATACAGATATGCAAACAAAACACTTGTATACATACAATAAAAATAAATAAATCTCCCTGGGCAATGGTGGCACACACCTTTGATCCTATCACTCAGAAGGAAGAGACAGGAGGATTTCTGTGAGTTCAGGGCCAGTCTGGTCTACTCATTGAGTTCCAGGACAGCTACAGAGAAACCCTGTCTCCAAAAACAAAAAATAAATAAATAAATCTCTAAAAAATGTCTGTTGTGTAAGTCATCCAGTCTGACCTTTAGCTACAGTAGCCCAAACTGACTATTAGGAGACTTTATTGGAGGAGTTGGGTAGTGGGAGCAATAACTGTACATACATATTCATGGTGTTACTACATTAATATCAGAGGCAAAAAAAGTAATGAGCTAGCCTTCATAAATTTAGATTGGAATGTGTCAAGTGTAATGGGCATGCACAAGAAAAAAACAGACAGGAAGGTAATTCAGGAGAATGAGAGAGAGGTTGACTGGAAATAGGAATTTCAGAACTTTCAGAAATAGGTGATGATTTATGGGGCCACAAGGATGAATTTACATGACAGGAGTCCAACAATGGATTCTGAGAAGATATGCCAAGGGACAGAAAGAGGGAACTATGACACAGTGGTGACTTTGAAAGACCAAATTCTCTACTTGAGTTTCAACGTAAATCCTTAGTTGTAAGCCCCTGTGAAACATTTTTATTAAGTTACATACTTTCAATATACAATGACACAAAGTTATGTTTCCTTCCAAAAAGGAGAAATGCAGGCATAGGAAGAAAAGACCAAAGCAAAGCAAGACTGAACCCCCGCAGGCAAACAACCTATAGCTTGATGTCCAGTATCTAGAGTATGTGCTAATAGCATCATGTAAGTTCCAATGGGTTTGAGCAGCCCTGCTCATATGCCTTGTCCTTTAGAGCCTGCACGCAGCTTCTTTGGGGACAGCTCTCCACAGTGCCTCCAGCTTCCTTGATGGATGTTCACAGTCCTGGCCTCTCCAACACGGAGTCTTGGGCATCACTCCCAGCTCCACACCCAGGAGCTCTCTGTACACGTTATCTGGTCTCATCCGAGTCCCCCCACCCCCGGAACCTGGCCAGCCTCTGTCCACTGGAGCCCTTGCACTCATTATGCTTGCAAAACTAATGCTATATGGATGGTGTTAACTTCTGTTACCAGCTTGAGAAGTAGCCAGGACCCTTTCACCACGATTACAATAACCTCTGTGGGCCTTCTCATGTGGCTCAAACTAGGGAAACATTTTCCTAGAGAGCCCCTTGCCTGCACAGCAACTCAGAAGTCTTTTTTTAATGAAAGTTTCTCCAATGGCTTTGTATTTTTATACCCTGGAGATTTCGCTTGGTGGGTCTACTCCCCAAAAGACCTTCACTATTGTCCCAGGGTAAAACGTGTGGCTTTTCTTTAAGTCTTTAACCATTTCTGTTGTGTTCTCTACTCTGTCCACATAATGTGTGCTCTTTTCTTATGACAATTGTTCATTTTTTCATATATTTCTGTGCTACTTTTTGCCCCGATTTTCTTGACTAAACCCAAGCAGTAACAACTGTGCTCTGGCCTGCATGATACACTGTCTTAAGATTTCCTTAGCTGAATAAATTAGTCCATGGAATTAGCCCATGGACATGTCTGTGGGTGCTGCTGCCCCTGGGCAGGTGGTCTTGGGTCTTAGGTGAAGATAGATCCAGAAAGCTTCTAGATCCCAGGGCTTTGGAAGCTTTTCTATTACTGCTTTTACACAGAGCAGAGTCCCTAGTGTCAGGCCACCCAGCAAGAACCTTTCATTTCTCCAGGCTTCGAGAGTGCAGACAGTAAAAACTATTTCACCATCACACACATGTCCACTTGCCCTCAGACTTGGAGAGCAAATTCCTGTAACACAATTGCAAGTTAAAGCCTAATTAGATGAGGAGTTTGGGTATTGCTGTGGCTTCTACAATCCTGATTTACACAAGGGCTCTTACTAGTAGGTGCCTTGGTAATTACAAGTCAATCACAAACTACATTGCAATAGCTTTGAGTAGACCCATTAAAAGCAATACATGCTGAACGAATGAGTATTATGATGAATAGTGAAGTTGAGAGAATGGCTGGCAGGTTAACCACTGCCAGTCTCTTCCAACTTACCAGGTTTTCTTTCCAAGACCCAGTTAGTGGCAGAGCTTCCCCAGGATGCTGTAGTGATGCATTTCTACTAATTACCAGTAGAGGGCGCTGCGGATCGCCACGACCTGGGAATGGAGAGGAATCCAGACTGTCAGGTGGAGATTATCAAAGCTGGCCCGACAGTACCCTGGCCATCAAAAACTTTTCCTGGGGACAGGTGTTGAACAGGAGGGGTGAGCAAAGAAAAGGGAAAGGTCGTAGAAGAGAAAAAGGCTGGAAAAGGGAAACGCGCTGTAGCGACTTCACAGGAAATAATGCAAGCATAGTATAGGCAACAATATTTGATAGGTGATAGAAGACAGAAAAAGGAGGTTCTATCGCCTAAAGCCGAATGAGAGGTGCAAAGCGCTCTCCTGGCGTGCTCGAGATCCCGAATTCCAACCTCAGCACCAAATAAAAAGAAATACAATATATAACATAAAAGCTAAATGAAAGTGCTCAGATCCTGAGGCAAAGCAACACTGCACTCCTGAGGACCTTTGTAGCATTTACTGCCTCTAATTATTCTGTAGAGCAGCGCTCCCCCGCTAATGTTCCCAGTTACCACCGTCCACTCTTTCGAAGAAACTGAGTACAGAGACTAGCAACTCCCAGTGTGCCTGGCGATGAATGCAATGCGCGCTGCATCAGATGAATGAGCTGTCTGCCACATCTTGTTTTCCCTCTTTTCAAAGGACGATGTAGCGCTCAGTTCCCATTTCTCTAGGTTTTGCAACCTACTCCTGAGACTCACTCCTATCTCAAACCCCTTCCCGCCAGGGGGAGTCCCTAGAATTTTGGAGAGAGTAAAGGTTTTGGTTGTAACTTGGGGCCAAGATTTCAAAACCATAACCCCCAAGAAAGGGCAAGGGAAAAAGCTGCATCATCACAAGAGCGTCCACCTTCTCACAGCAGAGAGAGGGGTGCAGCAACCTGGTGATGTCCAGTCCCTTCCCCCTCCCCCTTCCTCCCCCCCCCGCTCCTCCCCCCACTCCGCATTCCATCCCCACAAGCCTCCACTAAAGAAAAGTATCTCAAAGGTTCTAGCTGAGCGGTGGAAGGGTCTTTTCCTTGGACTTCTCCAAAGCTGTCCTGATGACCACCTTGCCTAGTGAGGACCCCAAGGAGGCTTTCAAAGCTGGGGAAAGCATAGGAAGGACCCTAGTTAACTTTTCAGAGGCCAAATGATAGACACCATGTTTGAAAGGTGCTCCTTGGATCGCCGAGTAAAAGAGTAGTTAACACCACCTCCATACACACCCTATTTCTGTTGTCCCTGGGCCAGATTGCCTCCACCTCACTCTTAAACAACAACAACAAAAATCATGTGTACATTGCCTGCATGTAGATGTGTGCACTAGGTGCTTGCCTGGTGCCTGCAGAGGTCAGAAAAGGGCATTCGGATGCCTTGGAACTGGAATTACAGAAGGTTGTGAGTTACCATGTGGGTGCTGGCAACAGAACCCAGGTCCTTTGTAAGTGTTCCTTCTTAACCTGTGAAACATCTCCTCAGGCCTTCAAGTCCTCTTGAGCCCAGGCCAGTCCAGTCCAGCCCAGCACAATACAGCACAGTCCAGTTCAGTCCGGCCCAGCCCAGCCCAGCACACAGCCCAGCAGAGATCGTACACCTGCAGCGGGCATCAGAGTATTGGGTGTTTCTTCTTCTTACACAGCCTCAGACTTGCTCCCCAAGTTTCTTTAAGCCCAGCATACCAAATCAAAATAATTCCTGTGTGCTAATGACTTTAAGATGATCAAACTCTGTCACAGCACCTCATCATGGGTTCTTTAAATTGACACTGCAAAGTAGTGAGTTATATGAGGCAGGCTTCTGCTTGTGGGCTCTCTCTCTCTCTCTCTCTCTCTCTCTCTCTCTCTCTCTCTCTGTGTGTGTGTGTGTGTGTGTGTGTGTGTGTGTGTGTGTGTGTGCCAGTTCTCCAACTCCAAGGCTTCTGGTCTGTACTCAAGGGCTCCTTCTGCCCATGCAGATAGCACTGAAAGATAGGGAAACGGTAACTAAACTGAGACACAAAACTTCACTGGGACCACCCCCCTTTCCCAGGGTTTGTCACAGAGTGACTGCACACCCCTGGAATGTTTTAGTGCTAACATGGAAGCTTCGGGTGGGGAGGAGCCATATCTAGACATTGGAGGCAGAGTATTCTGACCTATCCACCCAGTATCTGATACAGCACGGGTTCAATGCATAGCTGTTAACTAAATCATGAATTGCAATAAGACTTGAAGATGCGTAACATTAGAAGGAACACACTTAGTGCTCCCGGGAGACATAAAGGGTTTCCTGAGAGTTAGAGACAAGCAAGTTGAGGAGAAGGTGTCAATGGTTCTGGTTTGGGAATCCTCTCCCTGAGATCCTAGCTTGCCGAGCTCCTGGAATTGGGAACTTTACACAGCTTTCCCAGCGAGCACTCCCTCCATCTTTCAATGACAGAGGAGGGTAAGAAGGGAGTTTCCCTCTGCCCCCTGTGCTACAAATACTAGTGGTTCCTAGGCTCCTCTGAGACTGGGCGTCCGAAGCTCTTTGATACCTAACCAGAGAGATTACAGTGGCCTTTGGGGACTGAACCAGCTTCATGATGGCTATGTCCCAAGGGTCATGGGGTTCAGTCCACTGACAGCAAGTTAGCTGCCGTGCAAACGAGGACAAAACACAGCCTTGAGAGGTAGGATAGATTTTTGAATACTAATCCACAACTACAAAAGGAAGAACAAAATCTCTGGTTTAAGCCTGTTCTCGATGAGTCAGAGAGGCAGCATGCTCTTTAGCCAGAAAGAGATGCTGGGAACCGGGGAGAGAGTCCCCAGGCCTTTGCATGGACCAGCTGAGAGATAAGTACACAGCATTTTTTCCATAAGGCTCTTATGTATTCGGTTTTCCCATTATCGGCTCCAGTGCATATGGAAAATAACGCCGTGATGGGCGTCTGTGAAGCAACAGGAACGCGAGGTTTGGGCCACAGAATGCTGCAGAGCCCCCTCCCCCCAGGTCTAGTAAGGAGAGGATAGTGCTGGTGCAGCATGAGGTTGGAGCTCTTTCCAGTTCCCCGCCCCCAAAGGTAAAGCCTGCATGGCTGTCAGACGTCTTCACCCCTGCAGCTCCAACTCGACTGTGGCACCCCCACCTTGTGCTGTATCGTTGGGAATGGGGTCCCCAGTTGCTGTCCCCACTTTCCCAAACTGGCCACCTGCTGGTGTTACTCTTGAAGGCCCAGGCTGTGTGACCTAGAGACTGCGGGAAGATAGAACAAATCTTTCACTCCAGTCTAGCAGGCGCCTAAAAGGCAAGAGATTTGATAAGACCTACAGAAACTGAAATATCGACTTTGACAGTGAATTTCATTTTTTTTCCCTCAAAGCTTTGGGCGTGTTTTGCTGCGCCTGATTTTGTTTAACTCTCAAAAAAAAAAAAAGACTTCTGAGAGTGTTCACCTTTGGTAAGTGGCATTGTATCGGAGACAACGGCACTACACTTGGTGTTTTTTTTTTAATGACTACCAACAATAATAAAATAACGGAGATAAAGGGAGACAGGCGACCAGTGACTTCCTACTAAGACCTCTTTCCTAACACCGGCAGGTCTGGGTCACGCCTTCAGACAAGGTCTGCGTTCGGCTCTGCCTGCTCTCCCCATGCTTCCCTTGATCCGGCGTGGCTTCCCCTTCCTGTGCTCTGCTCTAGACGCCTTAGACCAAAGTGCTGTCGATGGGGTCTGAGCTCATCTTGAGAGCGCCCCCCAGAGAAGTCCCTGAGAAAGAGAGCGAGCGCAGAGCTCTGCTTTCCACTTGTGTTTAGCTACACAAGACGCAGCGCACCTGCCCGCTTAAAGTCAGGGCTGCCTGCTCCAAAGCCACCGTGGGGGCCGTGCGAAAATGCGGGCCCAGATGGTGCTCACTCAGGGCCTTCGCGACGGAGGTAGGTGGTGAGGAAAGCTAATGTTCGTAGAGTCGTTGGCTTTGTGATGAGGGAGTGGAGAGCTCTCTTCGAGGAGAGGGTTGAGATCTTAAAAAGCAAATAAAACAACTTTCCATGCTATAATTGCTATTAATGGAAAGGAGCCTACGCTGAATTAAGTAGTTCAAAACTGCTTGTTCATTATCGGGAGCTCCCTCACTACAAGGAGGGGAAAGAAAATGTGAAAACAAAACAAAACAAAACAAAAAAACCAAAATCAAGAAGCCTCCTTGACTGGTCGCCGCCGAAGTGTCTAGGAGGCACCTGCCGGGCCAGGAAGCGCTCCGCCCTCCCAGCCTCTAGCGCGCCAAGGAAGCTCTAACAGCAGACAAGCAAAGCAAAAACAAAAACAAACAACATCGAAAACGTTTAATTTCCAACGAGAAAATCGGAGGTGGTTTCCAAATCCGTGTCGTGCAGGGCTTGACTGGGTGGCCCACTCAGCTGCTGAGGCCGGCCTGGTAACAGCAACGAGGCTGACGCCCCCGGCCCCGCTGGGGAGCACAGCCCACAGCTCCCCCTTGCCAGGCGCCCAAGGACCCTCAAGGCGCGGGGCTCACACTTGAAGCCTGGGAACGCTCAGACAGGAAACCCACTTCCTCCTAAGCAGTTTCTTGCTAGCCGGATGAGAGGCGCCCAATTGAAGCAGAATGATCCTCATCGGCTAATATCCAGCGTGGCCACAAAGCGACCGGCCATTTACGCCGCCACTTTAGACAAAGATATTTGGTTATTCCCGGGGAAGCGAGAGCACTTTTGCATGGCTGAGCTCCGGGAGGAGGCGAGCCTCAGCCCAGCCTCCCGCCCGCTGGGCTGCGGGCGTCGAGATATTCGCCTCCTCCCGGACAGCGAGTTCCACCGGGGTTCAGATTCAATTTCACTCTGCAACGGACCCTCGGGCGCTCACGCGGCTCCCTGCCCGGGCTCTCCCTGAAGCACCCGAAGGGAAAACAACGGGGATCTGGGCTGGAGTGCTGGGACTGTGATGTCCTCGGAAGTCAGCACTAGCTTCCGAAGCCGGAGTATCCAGGCCATGGGCCAGGGTCAGGGGCACCAGGTTTGTGCGAGATGGGACAACTTCAGTGGTGGACTCTCACGTTGATCCCCGCACCCTTGTCCTCCCAGCGCAGAGGGCCAGAGGTGTTCTTGCCTGGGCCGGCAAAAGGGGTGGAGAAAGGGAGCGGTGGGGTGGGGTGGGCTGGGGGGCTGGTCCGCTAAGGAGCCAGGAGCTTGGTGGGGGGTGGCGCGGGGATCGGTGACAGCCTCCCGGAGGCAGTCGTTCCCTTAGTCAGCTCCCCCTCCGCCCGCGGGGATTCTCTCGGGTAAGGGGAAAGGGGGCGGGGAGCAGAGGTGTCCCTCTGACGGCGGCAGAAGAGGCAGACAGACTGACAGACACACAGACCAACAGTGCAGCCCCAGGGTTCATCCCCAGACTCGCACACTCTTTTGGTGGTGACTGGGCTCGGCGCCGTGAAGCCCGATGTGGTCCGGAGGCGGTGGGAAGGCGCGGGGCTGGGAGGCCGCAGCGGGAGGGAGGAGCAGCCCCAGCAGGCTCAGGTGAAACCCCGCTCCCCGTACCTCAGCCTCCTCTCCCCCAAAGACCAGTCCCTGACCCCGGAGCCCCGTCCGAAGGGGACCGCGGTTCCACTTTGTAACTCCTCAAGTTGGTTGCAAAGCAGCAGTCACCTTCCTGCTTTCCATTCCTCCCCTTAGGTTACTCTCTACCCCACCTCTGGCCCTCCCGCTCTCGGTTCCCTCCCCCTCCCCCCCTCCGCCTTTTCCTCGCGCGCCACAGGCACCCCACAAAAATGGGGATGGGGGTGTCCAAGGGAGGGGAAAGTAATCTCTCTCTCTCTCTCTCTCTCTCTCTCTCTCTCTCTCTCTCTCTCTCTCTCTCTCTCTCTCTCTCTCTCTCTCTCTTCTCTCTTTGAGACCTAAAAATCCTGACAAGTGAAGCTTAAAGGTGTTTACCTTGTCATCAGCATGTAAGCTAATTATCTCGGGCAAGATGTAGGCTTCTATTGTCTTGTTGCTTTAGCGCTTATGCCCCGCCTCTGGTGGCTGCCTAAAACCTGGCGCCGGGCTAAAACAAACGCGAGGCAGCCCCCGAGCCTCCACTCAAGCCAATTAAGGCGGACTCGGTCCACTCCGTTACGTGTACATCCAACAAGATCGGCGTTAAGGTAACACCAGAATATTTGGCAAAGGGAGAAAAAAAAAGTAGCGAGGCTTCGCCTTCCCCCTCTCCCTTTTTTTTTTCCTCCTCTTCCTTCCTCCTCCAGCCGACGCCGAATCATGTCGATGAGTCCAAAGCACACGACTCCGTTCTCAGTGTCTGACATCTTGAGTCCCCTGGAGGAAAGCTACAAGAAAGTGGGCATGGAGGGCGGCGGCCTCGGGGCTCCGCTTGCAGCATACAGACAGGGCCAGGCGGCCCCACCGGCCGCGGCCATGCAGCAGCACGCCGTGGGGCACCACGGCGCCGTCACCGCCGCCTACCACATGACGGCGGCGGGGGTGCCCCAGCTCTCGCACTCCGCTGTGGGGGGTTACTGCAACGGCAACCTGGGCAACATGAGCGAGCTGCCACCTTACCAGGACACCATGCGGAACAGCGCTTCGGGCCCCGGATGGTACGGCGCCAACCCAGACCCGCGCTTCCCCGCCAGTAAGTGAGGCCGCCCCGCCGCGGGGCCGCGGGCTGAGCACAGGAGGCGCGGTCACTGAGACCCGCGAGGTGCGGCGCTAGCCGCTCGCCGGCTATGCTAGACATCGGGGTGGGCAGCGGGGCAGCATCGTCTAGGAGTGGGGTGCAGGAACTGGATCTTCTTCCCCACGCTGGGCTAAGGTTTCAAAAGAGGCACTTAGTTGAGCCGGGGTCCTGCGGGACAGGTGCTGGCACCCAGCAACCGCAGGCGCCAACTATCGGCTTGGCCCAGAAGACTTCCGGGTGCCGAGGGAGGCCCACCCTGAGCTGAGGGCTTGGGCCAGCGGAGTTGGAGGAAGCCAGGCCGAGTCCGAGTCCGGAGAGAGGATGCCCTGCTGGGACGCATCCCAATGCCTAGTCCGGCTGCTTAGCTTTCTAGAAGTCTCTGGGCGGGTTGGGAGGGCATGCAGTTCTGGAGACGAGCAGGTGTCCTTACCTAGAGCTCACCAGTGAGAAAGCAAGAGGACAAGCGCTTGGAAGCCGGGGCTTTCGAAATTGAAAAAATTCCCTTTTGCAAACCCCCTGAAGTTGGGGTCTGCCGTCCGACCCCAGCTCTCTGCAACCCCGGGCTTCCCACCCGACTCGGGCACGAAATGAGTAGAAGCGCCCTTTCCCCTCACTATACATTCTAGTTCTAAAGAAATACTGACACCGATGAAGAGTAGCTAGGCTTGAAACCCTTAAACTCTTCGACAGCATGGCCCGGGCAAGGCACTAGACGTTCCCCAGCTAGCTGGGCCTCTCTCGGGAAGGAGTATTAGGAGGCCTAGGTGAGGAGGATGCCGTCGAAGGTTGGGGCCGGCGGGCCAAGGGCAAGGAAAGCAGGTTTGGCCCGGCCCCGGCCCCAGCCGACGCTGTGCGTTTGTCGCTTACAGTCTCCCGCTTCATGGGCCCGGCGAGCGGCATGAATATGAGCGGCATGGGCGGCCTGGGCTCGCTGGGGGACGTGAGCAAGAACATGGCCCCGCTGCCTAGTGCGCCCCGCCGGAAGCGCCGGGTGCTCTTCTCCCAGGCGCAGGTGTACGAGTTGGAGCGGCGCTTCAAGCAGCAGAAGTACCTGTCGGCGCCGGAGCGTGAGCACCTGGCCAGCATGATCCACCTGACACCCACGCAGGTCAAGATCTGGTTCCAGAACCATCGCTACAAGATGAAGCGCCAGGCCAAGGACAAGGCGGCGCAGCAGCAACTACAGCAGGACAGCGGCGGCGGCGGCGGAGGTGGCGGGGGCGCAGGATGTCCACAGCAGCAGCAAGCTCAGCAGCAGTCACCGCGCCGGGTGGCCGTGCCGGTCCTAGTGAAAGACGGCAAACCCTGCCAGGCGGGCGCCCCTGCGCCGGGCACCGCCAGCCTGCAAGGCCACGCGCAGCAGCAAGCTCAGCAGCAGGCTCAGGCGGCGCAGGCGGCTGCCGCGGCCATCTCGGTAGGCAGCGGTGGCGCGGGTTTAGGCGCACACCCAGGCCACCAGCCGGGCAGCGCGGGCCAGTCCCCGGACCTGGCGCACCATGCAGCTAGCCCGGCAGCGCTGCAGGGCCAGGTCTCCAGCCTATCCCATCTGAACTCCTCGGGCTCGGACTATGGCGCCATGTCCTGCTCTACTTTGCTTTATGGTCGGACCTGGTGAGACGGGAGGTGAGACTGCATAGCCTCACCGCTTCGTCTCTGCCCGCGCAAAGACCACCACTCGCCCGCTGCTCCACGCGCTTCGACTTTTTCTTAAGAACCTGTTTGTGTTTAGACCAAGGAAAAGTACACAAAGACCAAACTGCTGGACGCCTTCTTCTTCTTCTTCTTCTTCTTCTTCTTCTTCTTCTTCTTCTTCTTCTTCTTCTTCTTCTTCTTCTTCTTCTTCTTCTTCTTCTTCTTCTTCTTCTTCTTCTTCTTCTTCTTCTTCTTCTTCTTCTTCTTCTTCTTCTTCTTCTTCTTCTTCTTCTTCTTCTTCTTCTTCTTCTTCTTCTTCTCTCGTCCTCTTCCTCCTCCTTCTCTTTCTCCTCTCCTATTCCTCCTTTCTTTCTCCATCCTCCCTTCTTCCTTTTCTCTTTACTACTTAAAACTTGTGGATTATTTTTTAACGTAAAAAGAAAATAGAAACAGCCAAGCAAATTCAGCCCTTACGGATTCTTTAAGCAGAGAACGGCACAGAACAAACACGGGGTGTCTTTCTGTGGTTCAAATGGGTTGGGCATGGCACAGTTTTGGAGCCTGCTCTCCGCTACCATGACCCCGGACTCTAAAGATGGAAAGCTTCCCTCTGGATGCACTCTGCCAGCAAAGCGGACTTACTTGTAAATACCAGGATTTTTTTTTTCAGAAGGAAGGATAGGAGCTGGAGAGGGGAGAGTCTTCTTCATAACCCACTTGTACCTGACACAAAGGAAGTGCCCTCTCCCGGCGCCCTCTGGCCCTATAGGTTCAGTCCAGGCTGGCCCCTCAGAAATTGTTTTAGGTTTGATGTGAACATGTAGCTGTAAAATGCTGTCAAAAGTTGGACTAAATGCCTAGTTTTTAGTAATCTGTACATTCTGTTGTAAAAAGAAACCCAGTCCCGGTTCCCAGACCCTGACTTTTTTAAGGGCATTGGCAAACCTGTGTATATTATTTGGCAGTTTGGTACTTGCAGCATCAGTTTTTTTTCTGTTGTAACTTATGTAGATATTTGGCTTAAATATAGTTCCTAAGAAGCTTCTAATAAATTATACGAATTAAAAAGATGCTTTTTCTGATTAAAACCCTTTCTTTTTGTTTGGTTTTGATTTGGCTTTAAATGGATTTGGGAAGGGGTTAGGGGCTCATTATTAAGCCTGATGGGGTCCAAATTATTGGTGTCTGAGCTCCAGGATTCTAAGCTCAGATAAAGAAGCCAATTCCAGAGTTTTCATCCCACAAAAAAGGGGGAATTTTGTTCAGCCTTGAACTTTAGTGGAATAAAATCTTGAGCGGTCTTGGAACTATTTGATAGTGAGGATGAAAAGTAAACTACTTTTCTAGAAAGGGGAGGTAAAGGAAGGAAAGGGGGAGCAAAATGGACATTTTTATTTTTTTAAGAGCCAACCTTCTGTTTTTAGGAGCCTCAAGAGCTGGTCTTACACATTCGACCCAATGTTTAAAGTGGTGGACCATTTGCAATAACTCTGAAGGACCTATCTTTTAGTGAAAGCATTGCCTTTGTATATATAAATGCCAAACCTATATTCCTAGTTCCCACCCAGTCTCCTCTCTTTAGAGTTTGTGTGGTGGCTGTTTCCAGCAGTGAAGTGGTTCTGGGTTTTATTTCAACACTCCAAAACAAGATCCCTCCCTGCTCAGGAATCATCAGCTGCGGCCACCCCCCCCCCCCATCCTAGAACTCCCTACCCTGGCTTCTGCTGAAGGCTCTGTCTTATCTCAGCATGAACTTGGTGGCCAACTTAGGGATGCAGTTTCACTCTTTATCCCATTACTTTCAGTATCTGGGGTGCCAAATCTTTGCTGCAATGAAACCTCCTACCCCCAACTTTCTATCATCCCTCAAAACAAAATCAACTGTAATCTTAAACCCCCATCTCTGATTATTTTCTCATCTTCATTTTATCAGACTTGTGTGTGTGTGTGTGTGTGTGTGTGCGTGCGCGCGCGCGCGCGCGCACGCGTGCTAGGGAAACTACTAAGGCTGTAAGGGTTAAAGAGTGACCATGGACAGAGACGGAAACTACAGCTCCTTAGATGGATTGTTGCTTTTTGTGAGTTACCCCTGCAAATGAGTTCAGACAAGGCAGCCTGTGGGCTTCAGATAGAGAGCCCTACCAGGCCTGGCTGTAAGCTGCTCATACAAGGGTTTCTTGTGGTGATTCATTGACTTTTGGCACGTGTTGTATTCATTTTTCACTCAGGTGTTCAACCATTTTTCCTTTCACGCCTCCCTTTTTCCCTTCTTTCCTCCCCTTCTCTCTGCCATACCCTCTAACAAGTTTTCCTGGTTCTACACTGCATCCCTTCCCCCAGGGTCTTGCTTTTTTTTTTTTAAGAAACAATATGAACTTAAATCCAGCAGTCTTTCACTGATGTCCAGGGGATTTCTACCCTACAGTGCCTTAGGATGGGGAGCTAGGAGTAGCTTTCTTCCTCAGAAAACTAATCCTGGCCACTGGGGCATGTCTTCTCACATGTCTTGAAGCTGCTCTGATATTCTGAAAGGATGGTGGTTTGTCTACTGAGAGTCTACATTGAGGGTGTTAACTCTCAGCAGACTCTGTATTTTGGAAAAACAAAACCAGGGCAGTTTAATCGTTTCTGTTGGGATAGTTGCCTGTGATTTGGGAACAAGGACTGCAGGCTCTGGCTGTCCTGGGGAGGTAGGTGTTGGCAGCTGCTCTTCAGCTCCTAAGTGGGGGGTGAGTTCAACTCAAGTTGTCTCACTGGACAGCACAGGCCCAGGCAGAGCCTAGCCAGCAGCTGTAGACACCATACTGCCCTGTACCCCGGCATTCTAGCAGAGTTAACAACTGTAGCATTTCCCTGTCTTATCTTCCATATGTAGTTGGAGTTTCTAACAAATATATTCTTCTTCAGCCGGCTTAGTTAGAAGTCTGTTTATTTGTCTCTGGAATAGGTGAATTCTGAGGCGCCTTGGGGAATGAGAACCAACAAACAGAGCTTTAGCCTTTCTTATCATCAGGCACCCCGACTCCTCCAGCTCCTGCCTAAGGAACTTGTGGCAGCTGCTGAAGCAATCTTGGGACCCAGATTGGGGCTCTCTCTTTAGTAAACTAGCTCAAGGTGAGAGCTTCCCACAGCTTGGGGACACTCTCCTCCTACACAACCTGCTACAGGTGAGCATCTGGAAGGGGCACTCGCTTATTTTACGCTTTCAATAACTCAGGCTCAAGTCGGTTCTGACCTCCCAGGAGAAGACAGAAGTATTTCGGAGATGCCCCTGGCACTGAGATGTTAGAAGAGGGAAACAACTTCCCCAATGAACCTACAGAACAAATGCCTTAGAAACTGTCCGCTGACAAGTACCCCACCCAACCCCAGGCCTCGAAGGTTCAGGCAGTGGGGGGGATTCTTCAGACAGCATCCTCCGCTTTGCTCCTCTTCCCCCACCCCACCCCAACCCCGCCATGTAAACACGAGGACTTTCTCGAGAGCCCTGGAGAGCAGCTCTAGTGGCATCGGGGCCTGAAACCCCAGGCTTGGCTTGTTTGATGTTTAGCATCCCAAAGCGGCTCCCCACCCCCGCCCCAGCCTGGGAACCCGGAGCTGTGGGGCCAAGGAGAAGGGAAAGCAGTTCTCTCAGCTGACTGGCGGTGGACTGGGCTGGGCTCAGAGAAGAGGCGAAAACAACAGGACAGAGATGCCCTGAGCAGGGAAGGAAGGGGTCCTGAGATACTGTGATCACCTATAAGGACACAGCTGGGGTCCTCAAGGCCAGGGGGAAAGATAGATCCCAGCTTGCGGGCACACCCTGGGGGGGGGGGGGAATAGCCCGGTGGAAATAGCTTGGGGCCCGCATGAGCAAGGTAAGCTGAGTCTCGGTCCAGTTAAGCGAGCATCCGGACAGTGTCCAAACCTTCGGGCGGTCAGGGCCTCGAGGAGACAGCGCTTTGGAGGAGACAAGCTCAGGACTTGGCCTTTCGTAGGGAAAAACTTGCTTGGGAGTCTTCCAAGAGATTGTAAATGCTTCTGAGTCTGGACCTGGAAGCTCCAGTGACGATGCTTGGATGTGGCTTCATAGTCTTTGATTTTGAAAGCCCAGGAAGATTCACAGACTTACAGAGGCCATATAACCTCCGAGCTGCCTGGAGTCTGGGCGGCGGTGAGCGCTGCGGAGCTGTCGCAAGGAAAGCATGGGTCTCTTCTCAGGCGATCCCAGACAAGAGGAAATGAGAGAGAGGTTTTCTGAGTTCCAACTCATTAGGGACCAGGTAAGGTCAATGCTTTCTCTATTATGTCTTTATCTTAAAAGCAGGTCAATTTAAGATAAGGGAAGGGGGAAAAATCCACAATCTGTGTGAACCGTGCTGATATAGGCTGACCTCTTTCCCGAGCCTAAGTAAGCGAGACAGACCTTCATTTCTATAAACAAGGGAGTTGGGGGACGCTGCCTTGAATCTGGGCATAGCTTCCCCGCCTCCTCCCTATCCCTCCCCAGTTATTAGTGTGAAGCAGGGTGAGCAGACGATTTTATTAGTGGGGAACGGGAAGCCCATTGGGAAATGTGAATCTGTGATAACATGCTTCTTCCGCGGTTTGGCTAGCTTGTTTCTAAAAAGAAGTGGGCTAAGGGTATTGGGAAAGATGAAGACGTTTTCTGGCTCAGCCTGTTCTAAGATGCCTGAAACCACCTTCCTCCATTCCTCCCTACTTTGCTGTCTAGCGTGGACTGCACTGTATGGTTGTGTCTCTGGGACTTGAGCTCACCTTCGGCGGCACCCAGTTTGGAAACCTACCTTAACAAAAAGTTTTCTGGTGTCTCTTCAAGTGAGTGGCTTTTGGAAGGTGTGGCTTCGTTTCAGCCACCCTCTCAATGTCTCAAGAAATTGGCTCGGGTGGAAGTAAAGCATGTATGTTATTGAAGGGGTGGGTCAAGGATTGCATGAACCCTTACCCCCACCCCACAGATTTGCCTTTCCGAACTTTCTTTAACGGTGCCTTAAAGGAAGGGAGGAAGAGCGGGGCTCAGTCAGACAGCACAGCTTTTGCCTCATCTGCTACCATAGTTTAAGTGTCTGTATTTCTTTTCAATAGTGACCTGATGCCAACTTAGTGGATATCTAGGTGCACCCCTGATCGTCTGTCCCTCTTATTTGATAAGTTCTCATTCTATTTCTGCTTCCTTCATTGCTGAGACTTCTTGAAGCATTTTGGATAGTATTTCAGTATATTTGCTTATTTAATTTCTTTCACTCGCTGGTAGAACATTTCAATATAAGTTCATCACTGCTGAATCAAGCCTGAAATACAAATAAAAAACAAACACAAATGCTGTCAGTGCTAGGACTTAGTGAGTTCTTTTCTCCAATAGAAGGAACCATATCTGTTTCTACCTACTCAGTAAATACAGATATGTGCATAGATGTTTAAAGATTTTTCTAAAAGAAAATTAAACTATGGAGCTGGATGTTACAGAACATGTTAGTTATATCGGAGAAAGCTGAATTCAATTAAGAAATCAAATGAAATTGAGTTTCCTTTAAAGATAAACACAAAAGTCCTTAGTTTTTCCCATTTTAAGTTGTAATGTTTATTTCTTGTTACATGAAACTCTAGAAGGTTACTTTTGCTTGGAGAGGAATTACCATTTGTTGTCAAAGTATCTGAGATATATCCGTATACAAGACATCTTGTAACAATCTACAGTAGTGTCTTACTGGACTGGAGGTGTCTACTCATAGATGAGTTGGGAAGAAAACTACCATCCAGATAACAAAACCAAAACAAGATGCAAAGAAAACACTCCTGCTTTTTATTTATATCAAATGGCCTCTCTATGTCGGTCTTTCCATAGTAGTGGAAATAAGAGAGCCTGCCTGCATGCTGCTGGCAAACTGCCCTACCCTTGCCTCCCTCACTCTAAGAAATCTTGTCTTTGATAGCTAGCTCCCTGTTCTCAGTAGCAGAGCTTGTTGGTGGCATGTTAAACGTTGCATCTCTAGGACTTCGAGTGATTGCTGTTGAAATTTATCTCCAAAATGTAAGAGATTATCCCACACACGAGAAGCAATCCTTGGGTGCCCTTCCCCTGCAACTTACTGTGTTCTGAAATGATTCTGTAGGAAATCACCCAGAAACACCACCTTCCTTCAGTTTCCACCTCCCAAAGATGTTGCTTGAGGTTTCCAAAGTGCTAAAGAGACAGGTTTATTTGGTCTGTGTGCTACCTATTTGCCCTGTCTGTCTAGTATAGACACTGCGTACCCTGTGCCCTGTGCCTGTCAGAGGTGTAACCCTGAGAATTGCCTTAATGATCCAGGGAATGTTACTCTGAGCTAGTTGCTTATTAGGCCCTAATTCAGGACACCCGGACAATATTTACTGAACAGACTATCCTGCCTAACCCAGAAAGTTAGAGTCCCATAGATGTTTCCACAAGAACCACATTTCTAAACAGGCTTGCAGGGGTAGGCCACTTCAGGGGATTGTTTCTCCAGACCTGGCCACTCCTTGGTGCCTCAAGGTCTGCAGGCTTGTGTGGGGAATACAGGAGGTGGGTGGGAGACTAGCAGCTTATTTTGTCCCATGGACTTTGTGCCTGCTGAACAATTGCAACCCAAAAATCAAAAGCATGCACACATCCTATGTCTGGGCAGCCAGTCAGAAGTTGTGGCTAGTTAGCACTACCATCAACCTGCAACATTACTTGACCATTACTGCTCCCTGGCTGCAATGTGGAGGCTAGGATGGGTGCAGTCAATTTTGAAAGTTCTGTATTATATCATACCCATATTTAACAGAACAGGTAAAACTTGGATCTTCCTGGATAACCGTAGAATCTATCTGAAACTAAATGGAAAACTCTACTGGAAATACTTAACAAGAAGCAGCTATAACGCAGCATAGATGGGGAGAAAGAGAAAACACTGAAATTTGTGGTGGTATCCAAACGCCTTAGCATTAACCTTTCAGTAGGAATCCTTTCTAACAATGCCAATGTCACAGCAACACAAAATCAATTGTTTAAGGAAACATCTTGCCATGACTTAGGACTCAGATTCTATCAGTTATGGACTCTGAAAGTTGGAAACTTTTTAGTATGTGTTTGTCTTTGCTTCCTAGTGAAGCAGAAAAAGAGGAGAGGGGACTGGAAAGGACACCTGTGCCACGTGAGAGTGTGGGCTTCTTTCCCTAGCTGTGACTTCTGAGAGGTTATTGGGTAAGGCGTATGTGGTTTAAGGGTTAATGATGCTGAGGCTGGTCTGGAGATGACTGGGAGACCCTGTGCGTATGGTGTATGAGCTTTGGACCATAACACAATGGTAACGTAATTATCTGGCTGAAGCATGTTCAAATGGCAAGAAGTTGCAAAACAGATAGGTCTTCCTGAGCAAAGAGGGCGCTGGTTACAGAGGCCTGCAGCCATCATCCTTTCTTCAATACATTTTAAACAAGAGGATCTAGCGAGTGATTCTGATTCAATACACATAATCAGTTTGCAAGTCTTATTTCCATTTGAAAACAGGGCCATTTACAATCATAAGAGCTGGACACGCTGAAAGATTCGGAGTGCATTAAGAGCAGATGATGGGCGACAGAATCTGTAGGCACGCACTAAATATTTTCTTCTAGCCCCAGACCTGTGCATCTTGTGTGTCTTTAGTCCCAGTGTAGTATGAATGGAATATTCCTGTTGGATATATAACTTACTTGCTTAAAAACTGGCACTCTGTAATCAGGAAGAGGAAAACAGCTCAAGAGAAGCCATGCTAATTGTGTTGCTCCAAACTGCTTGGTAGTCACATTTTTAAAAGGTGTTGCCTAGAAGTCAGGCACTTGAGCCCTTCGGCCCTGCACTTTGTGAAGGGTGCTAACTTACCCGAGGCTTGGGGGCAGAGGTGCAGAGCCTGGAAGAAAGCACAGGGACTACTCTTGCAATTCCACAGCTCAAGACATGGGGGCCCTCTGTGGCCTGGTGGCTCCAAATTGGTTGTCAGGGGTCTCAATGAAAAGTAAGAAGCCTTTTCATTGAGCCTCTTGAAATCTCAGGGCTGTTTTATGGTCTCTCGTTCAAAACCAAGACAAGCAGCTGCCTGCAGCCTCCCACTTCCGGCCGGCACCCCCCATACCCATTCCTCTCTCTCTCTCTCTCTCTCTCTCTCTCTCTCTCTCTCTCTCTCTCTCTCTCTCTCTCTCTCTCTCTCTCTCTCTGCAATTCCTGCCCAAGGCTTCATCTCTCCCATCGGAGGCCACTTCTGCAGCACCTAACCCCACTTCCCTGACTTCAACTCACATAGCCCACCACCCTGTCCAATCCCAGCAGGTGACTCTCCATCTGGTTGTGAGTTTCCAGGAGGAACAATTTTTGTTGCTCACTGCCTGCTGACTTCACCTTAAACCCTCTTGGAAACCACACACACACACCCCGTCATGCTCAAGAGTAGAAACTCCGATGAATTCTGAACCCCAGAATATTAGTTCATTGGTTCAGGATACTGATGCAAGAGTTTAACCTGAAAGGATAAAACAACAACACTTTAAGAAAACCCAAACCAGGGCCACTGGAGAGATGGCTCAGCAGTTAAGAGCACTAGCTGCTCTTCCAGAGGACCCAGGTTCAATTCCCAGCACCCACATGGCAGCTCACAACTGTCTACCACTCCAGTTTCAGGGGATATGACACCCTCACACAGACATAGATACAGCCAATACACCAGTGCACATAAAATGAAAATAAATAATCCACTAAAAACTGAAAAGAGCAAAAGAGAGGAAAATCTAAAGCAAGTCACAGCAGTTTGATGGGGACAGAGAAGAAAAAGATAGGTCAACGGTTTCTCACTTACCAATGCTAAACTTTCCGGTTGACCGAACCTCTAATAATGGAGTGTGTCTCTTGTGTCCTTCATTTTGATCTCAAATAGCAAATAACGTGTCAACTTTAGATTGGTGTCTCCTAAGCAAATGTAGCTTTAGAATTCTTTGTAAAGTGTTTCCTCTCAGGAGATCCAATAGACAAATCAGGGATGCGGGAGGGTTTCTGCTCCAGGTTTTTCTCAAATTTCTGCAAATCTGTCCTAAAATCAAAGCCAAAAACCATCCCAGTATTCTCTTAAAGAGGCACCAAAAGATAAAGACCATAGGGATCTAAAGCTAGCATTGTCACACCTTCTCCGAGGAAGGATGAGCTAGATAGAAGAAAGGCCTATCCAGCAGGAAGGGGTCAGACTCCCCAGTGCTGCAAACTAGAGGAAGTGAGGAGGAAGCTGGGATCGGGGAGAGTGGCTTTGGCTGAGAGGAGCCTGGTAACCTAGAGACACAGAGAGCCAGGGAGGGAAGTTTCAGCTCCCAGACACCTTCACAAGGTTACAGCAAACTGTGACTCCAGAAGTGGAGACTGATTTGTGCTTATCCCTTCATACCCTCTGGGGCCAAAGGTACTAGGATCAGGATTTCTAGGCCAAGGCTTTAGATATAGACCCCAAGAGAGGAGACCTTGGCCTGCCTTCCCCAGGAGGCCTTGGTTGCCTTCTGTGGAGTCCCAAGGACCACCTGTAGGGAGGGGCATCTTAATTCTTGTATCCATAGCCTGATGCGACTTTGTCATCAGTTTGTGTGTTCCCCCATCCTCCCCTTATTTTCCATCTCTCCATTTCAATGCCCATTTCACTTGCTTTCTTATCCAATTCCAGATTCAGAGCCGCAGTCTTATTTTGTAGGCAATTCAGTGTCATTTTCTTAATGCCAGTAGTAAAACGAAAAGCAGATAAAGTGGATGGACTAAACTGTAAAGAATAAAAGCCAGCGAGGTCTACACGGGAGGAGGCAATTTGAGGAGTAAGAAGACCAAAAGAATGACCAAGGTCTGCCCGTCAGGGAACATGCAAGAAACATAGCAGAGGAAGCAACGAGAACCCTCTGTCTAAAGGAAGTCAATTAATACCAGTAGCGGGGGAGGGAAGAAAACAGTCCCTACATCTTGCTGTGTCATCATAGGCCCCCAAATGGAGGGGTAGCATACCTATCTGGAATAATCCTGGGGGAAAGAGGCAACCTTAGAAGATACTGCCAGGACTCAGGAATGGGAACCACTTTGCCAGGTCAAATTAGAATCCGGAACCCCTGGTTTCGGATCCAAACCCACCTTTTCTAGTCCATTTTGCTATTCCCACCTAACAACTCTGGGCTCTGGGCCCCGAGGAAGTACAAATTCTGGGGTGGTTGGAAGCAAACGATACAGTTATGGGGAGAGAAAATAGCAGGTTCTTTATTTAAAAAAAAAAAGCTAAAAAAATGAAAGAAAAGAACATGACTTCTGGAAACTTCTATGGAAGCAGACAAAACTTTTCCTTGGAGACGTTTGTTTCACTACCCCCCTCCCGCTCTGGGAGACAGGCTTTGGAACTGACTAGAACAGCTTTAGTCCTGGCAAGCTTGACCCGGAGGAGGCATCACAGGAAAGGGAGGCCCAGATGCCTAGGAACTGGGTGGGAAGCCTTGGCTGGATCTAGGACAGGGTCCCAACTCATAGCCCTCTCTTTGGAGTCCTTAGCTTCCCAGGATGGAAGACTTCGACCCTCTGGGGCTGTGTTTTGGCAAAAGCCGCACCTCTTTAAAATGAAACAAACAAAACAACTGACCAACTATCACCAACAGAAACAACAGGCTAGGGCAGCTGGCTCCGCTGGATGCGCACAGCCTCGTAGCCCAGAGACTGACCTGGCCTACTGGAGGGGCTCCATCCAGCAACAAGGAAGTCCCCACCCCGTTTCGGCTCCCTTAGGGGGCATCTCTGCAGCTCCGGGGCACCCGGACTCTTTCTATTTTAAGGGTCACACACGCTGTGAAGTATTTTAGCTGCATCACAATCTTTTAAATACCCCAGCATGACACTGCCTGCCTGAATAAGGGCCTCATTTGGGTGGTGACCGGCCGAAGTGCTCATTTGAGACGCTTGGGCAGCTGTGAAGCATCGGCTCGCTCTGCACTGGCGGGGCCAGCAGGGTGAGGTCTACCAGAGGGACCGCGAAGCTGCCGGCCCGGCTGGCAAGGAGGGAGGCGGTCTAGGTTGCTGGCCGTCGGCGCCCTTCCGCTCAGCTCCAGACGCCAGAGGTCGTGTGCATCGAGAGCACCGGCCGAGGCGGCTCTGCCGTCGGGCTTTTTCGTGCAAGAACCGGGCTCCGCGCGAACTTCTCCTGGCCGAGCTGAGGCCTGAGTCCTTCCTCATCTCGCGGCTCGCCCTTGCCTCCCCGGTTCTTATTCTCTGATCATTTTAGAGGCAAAGATTTCCATCTTTGGGACGAATTTGTTTCCTCTTTCCTAAATTCAGAAACGGTGTCTTCTAAAGCCTTTGTGTGTGTGTGTGTGTGTTTATTTTTTTCCTAGCGTTCAAATGAATGCGAAGCCACGGATCGAATCCTGTCACTCATTTGGAGTTAGCGTCTCCCGATATTTCACACGGAAAACAAAACTTGGTCTCTCTTATTTGTAGTTGTCCTTAACCTTTGCAGCAACTGCTGTAGATGCGGCTCTGTCCATTCTCTAATAGATTTTACCAGGGACGGGTGACAGAGAACTGATTTCTTTTCTATTAGGGTTTAGCACATCTTTGTTGAAGGCCTGTAGAACGACCAGGGATTAGATTTGCATCTCTTAGACGCCCTGTGTGGTCTTTGTGCGAAGCTTGTAACTGTTAAAAATGACTTGTTAGGAAGCGTGTGGGCTCTCAGCGCTTTCCTTTTGACAGAAGGATTGAGAAATTCAGATTGGCCCTGTAGGATTTAGCCTGCGGATTCCACCTGAACCCTAAGCAATTAGACCCTAATCTCACGGCAATCATATTTGAGTTAGGATTTGTTGCACTTTGTTTACTTCAATTAAAAGCAGTGGAATAATTTTTTAAAGTGAAATCTTCAGAAATAAAACCTCAGGATTTCTTAGGAACGGCTTTGGTGGCGATGGGGATTTTCTTGTGAGCTCTTTTTCCTGGCCCTCTTGCCCGTCCCCTCCCCCATTTAAATTATTCTTCTGTCGCTCGATGTCTCTGCGATCATCTTCCTGGGGGTTGAATTCGGTCGCCACGACTGCATCGAGAGGCTCCCAGCAGAGAGAGGCGCCCTAGCCCGGAGAGCAAGGGAGAAGCGGGCTGGGGGGGGTCCCCACCAGGGCGCTTACACCTGGCTCCACGTGGAGCTTCCCCGCCGGTGCGCGCCCAAAGGCTGCTGCCTGAGTAATCTCCTGCCAGTGGACACCCACCCGGCATCTCGTCGTTCTTCTCGCGGTGGATCAGGGCAAGGTCGGCGCAGCACCGACAGGGTTCTTACTGTCTGGGAGCCTGGTGGGATACTGCCTTCTGGCTAGCCCCGCTTGCTTCCCCACCCCACCCCATCCGCCCGCCCCAGGGGGAGCATCTTCTCTTGTTGGGATTTGGATTTAGCTTCCGGCCTAAGGCCCTACTGCGCAGAGTTGGCCAGCACAGGGAGACCGTGCAGTGGTTTTCTCTTGACCTGGTCCTCTTCTGCGCTGGCTTCTGTCCTCGATCTTCCCAAAGCCAACGACCCTCCAGCATTGAGCGCTATGGGGGGAGGGCTCTCAGTTCTGATAGAAAGGTGTTAGAGGTCCAAAGCCAAGCCTGTCTGGGTGATAACTCCAACCAGCCTGGGGGGAGAGGGGGAGTTGGTCACTCAACCCTTCCGAATCTCGTCCATTTAGTCCTTAGGCAGCTCCAAGGAGTAGGCGGTAGTTACTGTCAAGTCAGCAGAAACCGGGATCTGTGGCGAGTTTATTACCTTCATTGTTTAATCAAGTAGCTCAGAACGTTTCTTCATTTGGGAGATAGAAAGGACTCGGAGTTACTGCTTCTTTTATTTTGATTCACGACTTACCGCTTTTAGTTCGTTTGATTCCGTTTCCCAAATTACCTTTCCAGTTAACACAGAACGTAAACACGAGGACTTCTCACAAGTAGGACGTCAATGCCATTTATTTTTGGTCCGGCAGGTGAAAAGCCATGCTCTAAACTTTTAAACAGTTCTTTTATGATCACTTGCCCCAGAGTGAATATTTTAAGTTTTTCTTTGTTTTTGAGTCCAGCAGAACGAAGAGAAAAAGACGCAAGTTGTCTCTGATTGTGACTGAAATTCTTTAAGTGGGGGAGAAAGCATTTTGCTGATACTAAGTATTAAATATTAAGCCCCGAGTAGTAGTAGCTGGTTTAAGAAAGAAATGTTTTCTCAAATATGTATAACATAGGCCATGTCTTTAGGATAATTGTTATTCCTGGTTACTATGAACGTCATTAATAATTATGCATCCATAAAAAGCAACCCAGAAATTTTCTTTTCTGAGCTTGGATGTGGGAGTCAGAACACAGTTGGGGGGATGAAAGATGAGGATGCGGCTGTAGTAACAATCTCTTTGAGATCTTCCAAGGGAAGTCTTGATGGACTGCTGAGTGAGGAACCCAGCTTCAAACCCATTCTGTGTTGAGTTTAGTGCACCCTGAATAGGATCTGTATCAAAACCCTAGTGTGACCATGACAATTGGGTAATCACACACAAGGCGTCTTTGCTAATGGAGAGATTCTGTAAATATGTTTCTAGTGAATGCAGAGATAACAGTCATAGTGAAAGGGTCAGGTGCCCCAAATCATAGATTACGCTGCCAAGGGTTGCCAGCCATCTGAGGTTTGGAAGGACATTAACTGCCTCTGCGTTCTCAGAATGCTCTCCTCAGTTTGTGATTTCGCTTACTTGACCCTACTTCTGTTATTAAAAAGCTGGCAGGCACAATCAAGGGCAAGCAGGTTGGCTACCTACCCTTCTGGCAGCTCTCCAATAGTCCCATTTAGCTGCCAGGAGACAGAAAGAGGAGTGAATCACTCATGTCACCCTGAAGGAGCATCTAGAACATACCAGGCAGCTTCAGTGGGTTTTGCAGGCCCACCATTGCCCCTGTTTCCACATCTTCCACCTCAAATTTTGAACAGGGGGAAAAAAAGAGTAGAAGTGACCTAGATAAAGACATTCCCAAACAGTTCCTTGGGAAAGTAAGTTGTGTCTTACTAGACAGCCTCGGTCTTGAAAAGTATCACAAAACCAGGATTCTCATTATTGATAGTGGCAAAACCTAGGAATTCCCCTTGTAAAGGAAAATTAAGTTCTGCCTATGGAATTTGGAGGGGTTCTATTTCATGTCAGTTGGACAAATTTCTAACTTATAGTATTTGCTTTAATAAGGTTCCCCCTCCCTCATTAAATCCCCAAGAGATTAGGCATTGGACTTTCAGAGAAATGTGAAATTGGGATAATATCAAAAGTTTTTTCCTACCTCAGGTTGAAACAAGCTGCTATTTGGTATACCTGGGGCACTGTGAAATCAAAATACATTTCTCTCAAATATCAGTGCTCTGTATGTGAGGCTACAACATGTAGGAGTGCATCATGAAGGCGTTCTACAGGCAAAATAAAGCTGAGAAGATCCTCTGGGTTGGGAGGAGAGACCCCTTTCTCATAGTCTCATTTCGGAAGTGGCTTGGGAACCTAAAATGAGCTATCATCACCAAAGGTAAAGCCATAACTTGCTAGTAGGTGTCAAGAAAATTCCATGGGCGTCACTGAATTTTTTCCCCAGGGAACTTGCCTGCATGAGAGGGCTTGGAATGCTTTTGAACAAAAAAGAAAGGTACAATTTACTGAAAGTGTTAAGTGTTCAGGAGAATTAGCAGATGTATTTAAATAATATTTTCTAACATTCCAAGGGGGTTTCTAGACGTAAAATATAAAATCTCCAAATTTAATTTTCCAAAAATTATATTATCATATTAGTATATTCTTAAGGATCAGAGATAGACATTAGTCATCTACATTACCAAAGGGTGAAAATATTTTAAAACCAGATGACAGATTTGTGCTTTATAACTTAAACAATACTGAATGATGGACATTCTTCCATGTTCATTAAGCAGGAAGAAGAGTGAGTGTCTGTAAAAGTGAAGAAAAGAGACTTTTATTGAACAAATATGCCTAAACCTCATTCTATTAGCTGATAATACAAATCATTACTGGCTCTTGCTCCAAGAGTCATTTTTGAACCTTGGTAAAGCTAAAGCCGAAGTCCCTTTGTGAGGAACTTTCAAATGGCCCCACCCAAGTTGAAGACATTGTTTCTTGCTTACTAAGTTATAAAGTTGAATTTTTTGCTCAAGAACATTTTACAGCTTGACTAGTACTTTCTGCCAGACAAGTTTTCCCTTCAAGATGACATAGAACAAAAGGAAACTCTCAGTCTATATGACTTAGGTGGTCACATTCTATATCCTTAAGTAGTGATAAAACAACCAGTTGTTTTTCTCTGTGTTTTTGCTCTTTATACCTTGTGTAGTGCCTTATACATAGATAGTATTTTCTGAACTAACACTTTCTAACTCAATTTATGGACTATCTTCATTATTTCCATTATAATTTTTACTCACTTCTCTTTCTTCTCCTCCCCCTTCTTCCTCCTTTTCTCTTCTTCCCTTTTCTCTTCCTCTCCTTTTTCTTTGAGACAGGGTCTGGCTATGTAGGCCTGGAGCTCACTATGTAGGGCAAGTGCACCTCAAATTCACAGAGATCCTCCTGCCTCTGCCTCTGCTGGGACTAAAGGTGTGAATTACTATGCCTGTCTATGGTATTTTGTTCTTTTCATGTTAATGAAACAAATACAATTCTAGGTAGTTTTGATAACAAACAAACAATCAAAACTAATAGTAAAAAAGCCCCATACTTTGCTAATTGGTGAGAGAGAATTCTGGTATTTTCCTATTCTAATTATGACTGTGTGGTGTGACACTATTTTGTTTGAAACAAACGCAATATCTCAGATGCAAGACAAAATGAATTTAAAGAAAAATGGCCTTCTTTTGAAATTATGACAAGACTTGAAGTCACAAACATGATTCCTCCTTCTGCAGACAGGTTTAGAAACTTATTGGCATGGCCTTATCAACCAGAAAAGAATTTAAAAACTAGGGCTGATTGCTAACCATAGTTCCACATAGGACTCTTTTTAGGAATGTGGCCCAGTAACCACTGGACTGTATTCCCAACCTCCATCCCTAAGCAAGTGTATTTCACATTTCAGTATGGAGCATGGGGGCATGATGGGATCAGTGGAAAGAATGGGGTGATAGGGGGAATCTTGAGTGTAGAGTGGTCTTAAGCTTGAGATAAACTGTGCCTTCCCTTAGTCCAATGAGCTACTGGATGTCTCTTCATTTATTTGAGGACCTGGATCAAGATTTTTTACAGTTTTGAAGGATGAATATGAGGTTATCATTTCATGCCATCATTCATTGATGAATATGAGAGTATCCTTTCAAATGGAAAACATGTTTATGTACTAAGGACATTCTTAGCTTCCCCAGGCAATCACTCAGAGCAGACATCTGTATCTAGGCAGTGTCTACTCATCAAGATGGACAAGACTGACAGCACCACCAGAATCAGGAAACCTTACATCTGCTTTCCACTCCTTTAAACCAGAGAATCTACTGCTGAGGCACTCACTCAGTGAGGAGGTGGTGTTTACATCTAAATGTGCATGTACAAGCTTCACGGATTTCAAGTGGTCTTTCAAGTTGTATTCCTAGTAAGAAATGGAGATGGCAGTGCATTTCTGTTATCTCAGCACTTGGGAGGCTGAGGAAGGAGGGTTAGGAGTTCAAGGTCAACCTCAGCTATATAATGAGTTCAAGACCCTGTCTAAAACCAACCAAACAAATAAAATAAAAAAAATAAAGGACATCTCTTTACCAATATCTAGAACAGTGACTCATTTTTTTTTGGCTCAGGAATTCACTGTTCATTCACACGAAGGAAGGAGCTGGTATTTCAAACCTGATATCAAAGTCAATTTTCTACCTTGAGAGAATGACTTAAAAGTTCTACTTGGGGGAAGTGGTTGATAGACTCTCAAACCAAGTTGTTTCAAATATCCTGTTGTCAACATACAGTAAGTTTAGAGATTTTAATGGAAAAACTAGGGATATCATCCCAAGACAAAGATGCTGAGATAAGAAAATACAGTAGTCTGCTTAGTGATAGACTGAATGCTTACTCTAGGCAAAGTACTAACCGTGGAGAGGAAGGCAGATCTTTAATCTCAAAGACACCATGGGAGATTGTTTTAGACAGATAATTTTAGATGTTTTTGGACAGATTTTTAATATGAATTTTTAAGACGGATAATTACAGTTCAGTCCAATAAAAAGGAGTCATGTGAAGTCTGTAAAATGCAGTAGAATCTCAGGGGAAAGTTATTTTTATGACTGGCAGGAGGCAAAAGTGATGCTTGAGTTGACTCCTGAAGAAGGAAAAAGGTATTCTAGGTAGAGGAAATGGTATGTACAAGGCCCAGAGATGATGGGAAGCCTGCCATTGTCAGAGAATCATGTCTGCTTTGTATTGCTGAAGCATAAAATGCAAAGAGAATGTTGGAAGTAAAACTGAGGAATGGTCCAAGTTAAAAGTCAAAAACCTTAAGATGCCAGAGTAAGAAGTTAATACTTCATCCTGTGTGCCAGACCAAAAAGCCTTTGTAAAGTCTGAACACAGAGGAGCAATCTAGGAAGGCCTTGCAGTCTGACGAATAGGGAATGTGGATTGAAAATAGGAGCCAGTGAGTAGCAGCAGTTTCCACAGCTGCTGGTGTGCTCTAAAGATGCTAAAGCACACTTCATTAAATAGTTCTGTGTCCTAGAAGCAGAGTACAAGATATTTTCTAGAGAAATACCTTTTTTTTTGAAGAAAGTGACTGCTCACACTGTGCAATGCTTGTTAAGTTGGTGTGACCTGCACACACCTTTTAAATGCATGCATTGTTTTACTTATGTGATTGACAAGCAACTGGGCTATTGTAATGGAAGACTGTGTAGTTGCAGAAAGAATGCTACCAGAAGCCAACTGACTTGCCTGCCCATCTCATGCTTTAGTCTTTGAAAGACATTGGGGGAAGTTGCTGTATCTCCCTGAGTCACACTGTCCCCTCTGTAAGGTGAAGAGCACAGTGTAAAGGACTCTGAGTCTCACAACTTTGCACTCACTAATCACTCTTAGTGTTCATTTCTTACTTCATCTTAGTACTTTTTATTTACTTATTTTTTCTTTTTCCTTTTACAATTTTAAGAGGAATAGAAGCATTTCAGAAATAACACCTCAGGGTATCATTTAGATACAATTTCATTGTTGTTGCTCCACGCTTAACTCAACCTGTGTCATTTAGATACAATTTGATTTTTGTTGCTCCACCCTTAACTAAGCCTTCTTCAAGGCAGGGAGAGGATGCTGGTTGTTTTGAAGAAGCAAGCTTTACTGCTCACATGAATCACATTTCATCCTCAGATGAACAAAAAGAGGAGTACTATTTAATCACTTTCTAGGTCTACTCAGCTAAATGGACAATTTAAGCTCTAATATTTTGGTTATGGATTTTCCTGTCTAAAATGATTCTGTTTGACTCAGGTCAAATGATTGCATGGTTTCAGGAAGGTTAGTATTGTATAAAATTGTAGTCCTTAAAATGACCTAAAGTGTGCTGCTTCTAAAAATAGCTCCTTATTTTAACTTGTGTATTTCTTTGGAAACTTCCTGTAACTTAATGCTTTTCCCCCCTCCCACTTAAAGGCTGTTTGCTTTAGTCATGTATCTCCTAGTGATGGTGGAGGTTCCTGGGGTTTGTACCTACAAAACACTGCAGCGGAACCATTACTGTGCTGTAGAGGCATGCAGGAGTCCCAAGGCAAATCAAAACGTTTTTTAATGTATGACATGTGTGAAGTTGATGAAAATTTATGACTTCTCTCCATCATGGCTGTTTCAGCTTAAGTCATCAGAGAAAGGTGAGTGCAAAGAATTTTATTTCATATTTTAAAATCCTGGAATCCTTCCCAATGCAAGGAATCCATGCAAGCTCCCTGTTTTGGCTCTGTTCTGTTTAATAGTCTGATTAAAAAGTGAAAGGAAATTAGAGTTCCCAACTGTCTTTCAGAACTTCCTGCTTACACCATTGCCCAGATACACAACTTTTAAAGAGAAATTGAAATGTGGTTTGAGAATACAGTCACCAAATGTAAATATACAAAATATGTGTGAAGGACCATAGGAATATAGTTAACATTTATTATTTTTATGGTGCAGGAAATATCTTCAAATGTATCTTTCAAAATGGAAAATAAAATATTCAAGAAAATCCTGGGGGGGGGACAAAAGGCTGCAGATACAGTGATCAGCTGTTATTAAGTAAAAATCCATTGAAAGCCAAATAAAAGGTATTGTGTAGTGTGTCCCGGCTAAAACTGAGAACACAAGAGCATCACAGTTAATTAGAGCCAATCAACGGCATGCTTTGGGACACCTTTCACATCGGTGCACCATCTGATCCTCATGGCCCTCATTTCCCACAGCCTTGTCCCAAGAAGGACGGGAAGGAAATGTCTGACTCATTACACTCTGTGGCACTTCTTAATTTCTCTTCCTCTTAATTCTTTTTAAGTAGATGTTTTAGAAATAAGATCTTGAAAAAAAATCAAATGTTGTTTTATGTGTGCTTTAGGATAATGTGACTCAAATTTTTGTTTTAATTTCTCATGCATTTGAGCTTGAGAAAAATACTGCTTTTAAAAATAAAGTTTAGAACATGAATTTGAATAATTATATACTTTTAAAAAATGACTATAGCAGTTGTGAAAAAGAAATGAGCCTTTCCTGAGCCACTTAATACAGGCATATTATGAATGATTAATACATTGCAAATAATTAACACATTACATCTATTCTCATGCTAAAATGGTACTGAACTAAGTATATAATATCGACATTACCTCTCATCCTAAGAGAACACACAGGACTTAATACTGCCTTATTTTCACAACTCATTCAGCACTTGCTTCTGCCCAGAAAACTTTAGCTTTAGGTTGATTTCTTACTCTCAGGAGAAGCATTACTAGGGAAAAATGCTGCTTTTATCCTATTTTCATGAAGCTCACAGTGTGTTTATCGTAAGCAGTATTTATAGTTTTGTCATGTAGCCTACACAAGGGCTGTCTGGTGGTTTGTTGTTGTTAATCACCCAACATGAAAGACAGAATATTCTCAGCCACTGAGGTGCTTCCGAACATTTTAACACACAACCTGTGAAAAATATTTGCATGCTTTGACAATAGTTTGTTGTCAAGTTTTGCCCCCTTTGAAAAGCTAAATTTATGAATGGTTAGCAAATACCCTTTTGGAGGTAAAACTAGCCATAAAACTGGTACTGTTGCTATAAGTGAGATGTCTAAGTTAGGAGTCCACAGTCCAGTCTCCAGTGTTTACCCAGCATGGCTTGTCATTGCAATTGAGCTGCTCCTCAGCCTCTGCAGTTATCTCCTGGTAAAGGAAACATGTTTGGAGGAGAGTTAGGCTGTCTGATGTGCACCATCTAGTTTTTTTAAATTTTTTTCTGGTCTGCATATTGTCTCCTCCTACTTCATGCAAGATGTGTTCTTTTCCCTGTTCCTTACCAACCTCACCTCAAAAAATAAGTAAATAAGGAAAAGAAAAAGGCCTTTGCTAATTATTCCATTTCTTGAAAACTCCATATGCCTGCAGAAAGAAAACAAGTTTGAGAACCATCCTCTGTCTAACATTAACCTGTTTCTTTCTCCTCTCTGCACAGATTTACTCTCCATCTCAGCGACAGGGTCCATTTGTGACCCTTAGCAACTCACCCTTCAGACCACCAGCCTCAGGACAAATACTTTAGTTTCGATAATCATTCACAGATAATAATAAAAAGGTATGTTGGGATAGGATTTTCCTTTCCTACTAAAGACGCAGTAGCACTTGTGTTTAACTCAAGACTGCTGCATTTGTTCCCCAGCGTGGCTGTAAATGTTAGCTGTTTCCTCAGAAAACAGTTGCTCTAAGCATCAGCCCCAAGTCTGCTGGTGCCCACACACTGATTGTAGGAATTGGGGTAATCATGGTCTAAAATGTGCGTTACAAAAACTCTGCTTATCTCTAAAAACCCCTATTTCTTAAAGCAAACAGTTTAAGTAGAAAAGTCATTTGATAAAAATAATTGGTTCAGTCGAAACAGGGCTCACATTCTTCTGCCAGATAATGACGCAGTGGCGACTCTAACCTCAGTGGTACTCATTACACACAGTTCTCATTCAGCTTAAAGTCCTGGGCGGCGGGGTGGGGGCTGCATTAGTTTAAAAATAATTTTAAAGAAGTAAACAAATGTGGGGGTGGGTGGAATAAAACCTCTATAAGATTGTCTTCATGTGATTCAGTTCCTCAAAAATTTTCTCAAAGGGCAGGAATGTCGTATGCTTTGCGTCAGGACAAGAACGCCTTTTAAATTGGAGAGCTTAAAGAAAAGATGTTTGATTAACGGATGGCAGCTTAACAGAGCCGATAAAAATGATCCAGGCTACAGTATTAGGAAGACCCTAAAGTTCCATAACTTTAGAACTCCTGTAATACTGGGCTTTGATAAGTGGCACCTTTGGAAAAATAGTAAAGCTGTTAGAGCGACTTCTGAAACTCACAAGTCTAGGGGCACATTATTTTATCAAGTTTCTTTGACGTTCTTAACTTGGGGAATTATGAAAAATCACATACTTTTAGATTGTCTTCAGTCAGTGGTCCCATGTTGATGGTATGTCATTAAAACAAAAGTTTATAAACCAGACTAACTAGCAACTATATTGTTATGATTGTTGTAGTTTGATTTGGTAAATAACCAGCCTATATGGAATGAATAGAACACAATATAAACTCTTAGCAGTATCAGAAAATATTCTTTAAATACTTCAGCAATTAATTTAAAAGCCCCTTGCATGTGATTCATTAATATTCATTCATGTATCTTGAGACCTATATGGACTTAAATTTTACAGATCAGAAATGTTTTAGCTGCATTTTGTATCAAGGTGAAGTTAGCCTGTAGCAAGTTAGTTGAGTTCATTTTAAAAAGCTTTGACATCTAATGCTGCTTTTAACAGCTTTGGTTTAGATGCAAAGCTATTGTTAATTTGCTAAAGTTGCAAACATTTTTATTGAAATACCTCAGCATTGAGAACAATACCACGGTGCTGATAAATATTCTCTTCCTTTACTACTTTATCTTACACACTTTTAAATCTCTTTAGAAGCATAATTATGTATTATTTTCAAGGGACAAGTAAATAAATGTACTTAAGATCCAAATTTACTCTAATGAAAGGGAATTCAAAACCCTCAACAGGACCCTGGGTTCCTCACTTGGCTTCAGTTGCTCTATATTGTATATAAAACGAGTTGGCAAAATTAACTAGCAAACACTAAGCAAAATGAGAAATCCATGGAGAGAATAGCCAAGAAGGAACAAGGACGAGCTTCAGGAAATGATATTTTCCCATCAGTGGATAGGCATGCATACATTAAAGGTATAAAAGGCAGCAGGGAGAGAAACAAAAGCTCTACGCTAAGGATCCTGTGAGTCTGAATTAACAAAATGGGGGAAAAATGAAATCATTCTGCTTAAACCTGCTCACTAATAAAAGGAGAATCGCTTTTGTTAAATATGCTTGGTGTGATTATCAAGCAAAATTTTTTTCTCCCAGACATCTATGAATAAAACATGCAGTTTGAGCATTAGGTAAACAAACAATAAATGGATGAGTTCAGTTGCAACATAACAACATTTTATTTAGAAAACATATATAATCATATTTGTATTGGCAATCCAAATTTAATGACGTCTTTCAGTAAAGGCAAAATACCTTACAAATAACATCTAATGCATTAGGGTTGCTTATTCTTTGCCCATTTTTTCTGTTCTCCCAAAGAAAGAGAATTTAATGCTCTCTGTTGAACCATACATATAAACTGGATGAAGTCTGGTAATTTTGGAAATTCTTCTTTTAAATCAATTTAATTGTAGTTTACAATGCTGCCAAAACAAAAAACATTTCTGAGACAGAAGAGAAAATGTTTCTCGTCTGTGTAGCGTGGGCTGACTGGAACAAGGCTGCAGCTGAGAAGCGGTCTGTTTCATTAGTGCCACATCTGTAAAATATGAATGAGAAGAAACCATTTACAACAAGGAGAGCAAACAACGGAATGAGTTTCCTCTGTTGGTGTTTTACAAGACTGTTACACAGAGAATGGAGGGAAGGACTCTCTTTAGACGATATCACTTAATTAAGTAAAGCGTCCTAATCAGAGTCCCCTCCAATTGTAATGACTGTAGGGAGTCAAGTACATTTCTGTCTATATTAGAGTATCTAACTGCAATGATTTATTGATATTTATTTTAGAAGTACAACACAAAAGCAATAAAACAGCAGACACAGGGAGAGAGGGAGTGTGCCGTTGCTTTCTGAGGTGTGGCAAGAACACTTTGAAAACATTCCTAATTTTCTCGCGAGAGGTTTTGCTGTTTAATACGAAGGCACACCTCTCGAGAAAAGGGTTACTTTCCCCGCATTTGATTTTCTCCCCCACATGTTCGCTGTGACGTTTCTTTGTCCATTGGGAGAATCATTGATTCACTTTCCTCACTGTAAGAATCACTGCAAATGAGTGGATGGGCACCTGCTGTTTTCTGCAGTGACATTACTGGATTGCATTCCACACTGATTTTAGTCTTAAAATGCGGCTTCTCTGTATGGGAGAGAGATGCAGGGAAGGAGAGTAAACACACTGTATAGGCAGGCAGATATTGGCCGTCCTCCAAGTTGCACACAGCACAAACCTGTTTATCTGCCACATTTCACAAATCTCAAAGGCATGTGAATAATCAGACAAGCAACTGGATAAATGATTCACACTGGGAAGCCTAACCAGTGTTCTGATGAGAGGACATGAGGATGCTAAGACACTGGTACCCATAGATGTGAATTGTAGAAATGGCGCCTAATAAAGTTGATTACTGGTTCAAAGAGGAAAGCAGTCTGTACTAAAACAAATGTGAAGAGCTACCTCAATCCCATGGACTTGGTTTGGTATATTTATGTGCAGTTTTCTGGAGAACAGAGTAAAATAAAAATATGTACACATCACCCACAGGCCATCTAAGTCATGAGTGCCAATGTGCCTTGGGGCTTTCTGTTGGTGGTTAAGATCATTTATTTCTAAGAACTCAAATCTAAATATTGGAGAACAGTGTTTTCAAACTCAAATTCACACCAACACACACACTTCAAATTGAATTGCCAAGTGGGCTTGCAACCTGTCCATTTCAAGGAAGCAACTTTTCTTTGAAAGTTGCGTTCCTTCTTTTTTTAAACTGCAGAACATGAATATTTGGGCATCGAATGAACTAGGGAAACTTGGCTTTTGCTGTGTTTCTTTGTTTTGCTTCAGTTTCTGCTCTTTCTTCTTGATTTGCTGATCTTTTAACCCCTCTTGCCTTATCCCAGTGATCACTGGGTGTGAGCATTCAGTTGTAAAGTGGAAGCCTTCCAAGGCTGCAACATTGAGCTCCAAAGCTCACTAAGAGAAACCTAAGGTTGTTTATGAATTGTAAGCTTGGTTCACACCTATGAGCTAGACCTGGCTATAACTACAGTGAGATAAATTGCTTACTTTCTTGATATGCCTATATCTTTTTGTTTTGCTTTGTTTTGTTTTTCAAGGCAGGGTTTCTCTGTGTAGCCCTGGCTATCCTAAAACTCACTCTGTTCTTACCAGGCCGGCCTGGAACTCACAGGTACACCTGTCTCTGCCTCCTGAGGTGTAGGATTAAAAGTGTGCACCACTTTTATTTTTTTATTTTGGTTTTTTTGGAGACAGAGTTTTTCCGTGTAATAGCCCTGGCTGTCCTGGAACTCATTTTGTATACCAGGTTGGCCTCAAATTCACAGAGATCTGCCTGCCTCTCCCTCCCAAGTGCTAGGACTAAAGGTGTGAGTCACCACTGCCCAGCCAAAACTAGCTAGAACTAACTTTTAAAAACATTTATTTATGGCCGGGCATTGGTGGCACACACCTTTAATCCTAGCACTCGGGAGGTAGAGGCAGGTGGATCTCTGTGAGTTCGAGGCCAGCCTGGTCTACAGAGCAAGTTCCAGGACAGTTTCCAAAACAATTCAGAGATATCCTGTCTCGGAAAAACCAAAAAAATATTTATTTATTTTATGTATATGAGTACTCCATCTGCATGTATGCTGCACACCAGAAGAGGACATCAGATCCCAGTATAGATGGTTGTGAACCACCATGTGGTTGCTGGGAATTGAACCTGGGTCTTCTGGAAGAACAATTGATGCTCTTAACAGCTGAGCCATCTCTCCAGTCCCTGTGCACCACTTTTTTTTTTGGTTTTTACGAGGCAGGGTTTCTCTGTATTGTTTTGGAGGCTAGCGGTCCAGCCCAGCCTCAAACTCACAGAGATCCGCCTGCCTCTGCCTCCCGAGTGCTGGGATTAAAGGCGTGTGCCACCAACTCCCGGCCCTGTGCACCACTTTTAATAAGTTACATTTTATTGAAGACACCAGCTTACTACAAAAAATTATAGGCTTCTCTACATTTATAAACACAAGATACTCTTCCACACTGAAGAGTCATAATCCAACAAGACAATTAAATAGACACTATGATGTCTTTCATATTGCAGAAAGTAAACTTGCTAAAACTCTCCAACCCTGAAATTTATGTTATAAGCAAAGATATCAACATCTTAGCAACAGGTAGGTGATCTATAACTTGATGTCCCAAACAATATTCTGCTACATTTGAGCTTTTTAATTTAGCCTTGCCCCAAAAGAATGTATGTTGAGTCTATTGCCCATTGTACTGGTCAAGTGTTTTTTCTTGCCTTGCCATTTTTCATGCCCCTCCCTCCCTCCCTCCCTCCCTCCCTCCCTCCCTCCCTCCCTCTTCTTTTCTCTCTCTCTCTCCTCCTTTCATTCTCTTTCTTCAAGACACAGGACAGAGATGAACTGAATGGCGCCAATGATCAGGATGTGAAGTCTACATCAGAACCAGTCTATCTGGAGTACTCTCTTCTTTAGCAAAGCAGGTATTTGTATAATGTGGGATTGTCTTTTCTTGGTCACTTCTCCCTAACCTTACAAAATATGATACATTTCTTCCATTATTTCAAGTGAATTGCTTTGGAGCCTTTGCAGGAAGCAACAGAGGAACTAAATAAAATATACTTTAAAAGATGTGTTCTGGTGTTCCAGGCGGTGGTGGCTCACACCCTTAATCCCAGCACTCAGGATCCTCCCTCGGTCTTCCTCTGTCTCTGAACAGGTTCTACTGAAGGGTGCACTCACCCTCTCCCCCTCCTTGACTTGAACCCTAAGTATGTTCTAGTCTCAGTCCCCATGGCTTCATCAGGAAGGAACGCTCTAGGTCTCCTCTCCACCTTGTCATTCAGCCTCTGTGTATAATTAACCTAGAGATTTACCTGACAATGACCCAGTGCCTGAATCGAAGAGTTAGCCTTATCTGTGAAACTGCCATTCCCTATTCAATACTTTTATCTTTATCAGTCTCATTTTCATCTTGAAATAAAAATTCAAAAATGCCTCAATCTGCACCAAAACCTAGCCCCTAAGTTTAAGGTTATGCCTGTGCTATCAAAGTTATACTTACAGTAGGACATGTAGTTTTTATTGAGTATTAACATCCTAGGCACTATGGTGGGAACTGTGGGTTGCTATCCCTTTGGGGGTCCAACGACCCTTTCACAGGGGTCATCTAAGACCAAGTGAAAATACGATATTTACATTATGATTAATAACTTGCAAAATTACAGTTAGAAGTAGCAACAAAAATAATTTTGTGGTTGGGGGCATCACTACAACATGAGGAACTGTATTAAAGGGCTACAGCATTGGTATGGTTGAGAACCACTGTTCTAGAAGCTTATAAAATCACAAGGAGACAGCAAACAGTAACGAAAAAACCAAATGTAGGCCATATTTAGGTAAGTGTTAAAAATAACCAAATTAAAATCCTACGAAAACTCAATTCTGGAAACATTCTACAGCTATACCTGTGCGTGAACAAAAGGCAAATTGCTCAATGCAGCATTGTATGTATGGTAAGAGTTAAGGGACCTTTTGGTTATCGACAAGGACAACCTGTCAATTAGGAGATGCCCTCCATGGAGTAACATTGAGTGACCCAGGATAAATTTCACATGAAAAAAGCAAATGATGGGCTGGGTGGTGGTGCACACCTTTAATCCCAGCATTCAGAGGCAGAGGCAGGCAAATCTTTGTGAGTTTGAGGCCAGCCTGGTCTACAGAACAAGTTTCAGGACAGCTAAGACTACACAGAGAAACACTGTCTTGAAACAGAAACAAAAACAAAAATCTCAAACAATGGAACATGTATAACATATGCTCTCCTCTGCAGAAAAAACTGTAAAATAATGTGTATTAATGTCTAGATTTTTTTCTCTTTAGTAAGAAAGAGTGAGCAAAAGACAGGATTCCATTTCACTCTAGGAGTGGCTTTCATGTTCATCTCATTTTTCTGCTTGCATCAAGGGGACTTGTCAAGTTAGTCTGAGCAAGTACACTTTATGTAGTTACCTTGGTGGCAAAACTGCTTAGTGATACATTTCTCAGAAATAATCTCTAACCTATGATTCCCTCTTCCCCCTATCCTACCCCCCACTCAATAGGTTAGAAGACAGATCAGGCACCAGTGTGACCTCTAGTGATCTAAAGGGATGACACCAACTGGCAAGCTAAGCAATAGTGGAGAGACCACCTCGAATGCCCATTCCTGATAATGAACTGGATGTCCATAACCATCCTGGAGCCTTCATTCAGTGACTGATGGAAGCAGAGGCAAACGCCCACAGTTAAACACTGAACTGAACCCATGGAACCCAGTGACAGAGAGAGAGGAGCGATGAGCAGATTGGCAAAGAATGGGCTGGCAAAACCAGCAGAGACAGCTGATCTGAACAGGGGAGAGCTCTTGGACCTCAGACCGACAGCTGGGAGGCCAGCATGGGACTGATCCAGACGCCCTGAATGTGAGAGTCAGTGAGGAGGCCTGGGCAACCTATGGGGCCCTGGACAGTAGATCAGTGTTTATCCCTGGCATGCAAATAGACAGCGTGTGTCCATAACCCAAAGAGGGATGCTCTGTCAGCCTGGACTCTTAGGGGAGTGCCTGGACCCTGCCCTGAGTGAAATGACAGACTCTAGATATCCCCTATGTGGAAGGAAATGGCGATAGGGTGGGAGGCTGGGGGAGGTGGTGGGAGGTGTGGGAGGAGGGGAGGGAGAGGGAACTGGGATTGACATGTAAAACAATTTATTTAAAATTAAAATAAAAAAGTGACTAAAAAAAGAAATAGTCTCTATTGTTAAATGATATGTGACTATATATAAAAACATTGGAAGACCTCCCCAAAAAACAGTGTGAGAGTAACCTATAGTGGACACTGGAGTCGGGTTAAATGTACCTTTTCAACCGATATCTCTTTGTGTTATTTTAATTTAATTCTTTTTCTCTTCTTACATGTATATAATTTTGTTATCATATGTTAACTATATGTAACAATGGGTTTATAATGGCATTTCATTAATATGTCTGCATGTTTGCTATAATCACCCTCTTTTGCCCCCTCTCCCATTTCCAGTGACTGCCTTCCTATGCTCCAACTAATCTGCACCCCCCTTTCTCTCTCTCCTTACCCCATATGCTTCATTATGTTTGTTAACAGGAACATGGGTGAGGGGAACACAAGCAACTTACTGTGGTTACACCACGGAAGAAAATGTCTCCCCTCCCCCAGAAACCAATGACTGCTTATGAATCCTTAGGATGGGGCTTCACCCTAGAAGGTGTTAGTTGTTTCTGAATCCTCAGGGAAGGGTGGGTCATTTAGTTTTTCAAGCATTTCAATGTTGTCTATAAAAAGTCTATGAAATACTTTTAAATTTTAAAATGAAATTCCTCCTTGGCAGACTGTTTCCTGAGGTGTTTGGAAGTGCTTGGCTGCATTAATATTAACATGAGATAAAGAATTTTATTGGAAGAAGTTCTGAGCTGAAGACAGACGAGCCTTGGAGTTTGTTACCTATGCATAAACCCACTGCGTATTTTTAGCAGACGTAGGGGAAAGAATGCTATACAAAGTTCTCAAAGCTGTGATTTCTCGTGAGCCTGGCACATGTTAAGACAGGTGAACTGTGTTAGGAGGATGGCTCAGTCTTCAGCCTGTTCACAAGAACATTCTAAGTGGCTCACAGAGGTTTCTCATGAGAACTTGGCCAATGAGGCATGACTTGCCCATGCCTTGAGTTAACCTGCTGAAGTTCCCAAGATGAACAATGGGAATGTTGGTTCTCTTCTTCAAGCCTTAAATAAAAACCTTATGACAAGTTTCAAAGAGGAGGAATTAACTGCTTTACCACTAAGATGCTGCTGTTCTGTAATAACATTATGCTCCACAAATTTCCCAGAACATCACATTAAGGTGATTTGGGGAGAGAGGTATTGGGATGAAATTAGATCTGGAGAATTCTTTGGACTCTTCCATGAACTGAAATTAGGATGTTTCACAAGTAGAGAAAAAGACGCTGATGATCTCACTACTGTAAATGACATTGTCAAATGAATGTGAAATTTTAAAATCATCACACAAGTCACACAAGGACATGAATGAAGAAAACTTTAGGTCCTTGCCTGTCTCTGCACTGTGTCTCCTCACTGCTACTACCCTGTCTCTTCAGATCCTTTTAATCATAACTGACTGCCCCAACACTGTACCTACAAGACAGGCTTGGGCTAGGACACTTATGTCAAATGGCTGGAGGTACGGAGGTCGGTGGCCATAAAGCGGCGACTCCTATTTCTTTGCTTGCTCCACACTCCACCCCATCTCACCACCATCTCTCACAAACATTTGTTTCCCAGTGATAAGAGAGTTTCAGATGTGATACAGTGTCCATGCAGCTTATCTAACCCACATCTCATGCTGGTTTCCTTTCAGGAAAAACTAGTGGTTCATTATTTTATTTTTATGAGCTTACCGTGTAAATGCGAGCCTGTTAAGTGAGTTATTGCCAGCAATCAGAACCATTTGTTACATAACATCAGTAAGAGGGACTCAGGTCAGAAACAACCCTGATTGTAGGTGTTTAGTCCCAATGTACATCAGTTTGTAACTCCTTAAATGTATTTCTTCTAGTAGCTAATTTGAAATACTTTATCAGTGAAAGTCTTGACACAACAGTTATACAAACATACATAGAAAAACATGAGGAAATTAAATCAGACTTATAATGTAAACCTTAACAAAATGATGGCTTAATTTGTACTCACTTTGTAATTTTTAACTAAATATTGTGGTAAGTAGTTCTTACTTAAATCCTAAGTATATGGCCATTTATTATACACAATATGAAAATACTTCAAGAGGCTTGTGATTAACGCTGTGGTATTCAAGCATAGTTTACAGCGACTTTCAATCAAAGACAAAAGGCTCAAGCAGATGATGAAACATGTTAAAAAGATGTATGTGTACACCCAAGGGCTTAATTCAGACCTTCTCACAGTAGCTCAGTTCTAGGTTTTATCCCCTAACAAGTATCCCTGGCGCTTGACACAGGACTATCCATAGAGCAGAGTGCCAGACAAAGTCCAAGATTGCCTAGTTAAGATAAATTTCAGATCAACAAAGGATATTTTTCATATAAAATTATATTCCAGTCATTGAATGTAGTGTACTATACCAAAAATGTGGGTTAGTAGAAAGTCAACTATCAATGAGTACCTTGTGATATTAATTTTTTCTAGATATGGCAACTCTCCCCTAAGGATTCTGAAGGGTCCCTGCATATCTCCTTCCCTGATTTCCATATCTTAACTTGAGGTCTCTCAATCATGCAGACATGTATGTGAGCACACACGTGCCCATTCTTTAGAGGATGATGCCTAGAAGATTGAAAACCCCCAAATTCAAATGTCAGTCAAGCATGATCTGACTTACATTTTATACTGATTGTCATGATATGTATGGAGTTTGTTCCCCAGTGATCATATGTTGGAAGCATATTCTTCAATGCAGCCAGGGCGAGGTGGTGGGGTCTTTAGGAACTAGGACTTCAGGAGAGTCTGTTAGGTCCTTGAAGGCATTGTGCTTGGATGGGATTGGGAGAGTTCTTATGGACTCTGGGTTAGTTCTAGGGAAAGTGAGTTATTGTAAGAGTAAGGGCAATCCCTGAGCTCCTAAATTGCTCTATAACTTCCTGTCTTGGGATACTATCTCCAGAAGTGTTCCCACTGTTTTGATATTGACTTTCAAGGGAACCCCACCAAAGCTGAGCTGAAGCCAGGGTCATGGTGTGTGTGACAATGCTCCTGGGAAGAAGTGAACAAGCATTTACTTCCCCCACCTCCCAATAGGGAACCAATATAGACCAAAGTAAGGGTGTCATCAAAGTCCAGTGGGTGAACCAGGCATTTCAGTGGGGTCACTTACAGGAGCAGAAGTAACTCAATACAGATGCATCACCAAAGTCTACCCCAGCATGGGTGAAAGATCATGAAAGCTGGAATCCTGGAGGATACTGCACAACCTCAGACAGCTGTGAGATTGGAGATTGGAGAGAGTTCTTTATAGGAAGTTCAATTGGTCTGAGTCTCTTCCATCCAGCTTAGAGGGACTCTGCTTCTTCCAGACATCTCAGCTTCTCTGAGAGTGTCTCTCAGCAGTCCTTACTGTTTATGCATGTTTGTCAGAGGGAGGAATCCAGTGAATCTGGTCAGTTTTAGGGATTTCCTGGAGCCTTTGAGTTGTTTACTTCCTGAGCTTAATGAACTTTCTTTCAAGATAGCATGTTTTATCTTCCCTTAGAACATCCTATGTCTTCATGAGCTTCACTCCAAGGAGGAAGTTGGCTATAGAGGAACTCACTATGCTCTGGAGTCTCTAGAAATATGAGCTAAATAAACATCTTTTTTAAAAAATTACTCCGCTTTGGATATTTCATTATAGTAACAAAGTGGAAGGTAATATAGTCCCTCACTCCCTTCTACTTATGCTTGTTTCCTCTTGAGAATTTTGTTCATATTTTCAAATAAAGATTTAAACATTAGCAAATGGAGAGAGGTTGCCATGTCACTAGTTGTAGTGCCAAGTTGACGTTTTCTTTGTCTTTCTTGCTTTCTCTCCTTAAATTTGAATGATAATATTAATTCTTTGAAAGCTTGTTCTTAACATTTGATGCTACATTTCAAAGAGCACACAGATGTGAAATGAGTTAGGAGAGCTCTTCTCAGCTTAAATCTACACTCATGGATTGGTCTTTTAGAGCTCTGGTGAAGAAGGTGTCTGGTCAAAGGTTTGATTTAGTATTTTCTATGTCAGACCAACTGATAGTTCTACAAGTGTTCAGCAACAAAAGAAACGGAATAACATCACAGTAGAATAGCAAACAAAACACGTTGAATTGGTAGATTTGAGAGAGATTTATTTCAACTAGCTCGAGATTTCATGCAGATCATTTAACCTTCATGATGCCTGGTTTTCTTTTCAATAAAATGGATATATTGCCAGGCAGTGGTGGTGCACATCTTTAATACAAGCACTCAAGGAGGCAGAGACAGGTGGATCTCTGTGAGTTCAAGGCCAGCCTGGTCTACAAAGTGAGTTCCAGATCAAACAAGGCTACACAGAGAAACCCTGTCTCAGAAAACCAACCAATCAACCAACCAACCAAACAAAAAGTAAATAGGATA